AGAAATTACTACTGGTTCATCACTAGTACCAATTCCCAGACTCTGTCCAGGTTTTACCAATTATCTCAATAAATTCCATGTAGCAAAGTCTCTGACTCAGGATTTTCTTTCCTTTTGCTTGCTGTGTCTCTGGACTAGGTCATTCATAGCTTACTTAATACTGCTGAAGATCATGGGTGACTTATTAAAATAACTATCGAGATATAACATAACAACCACAACATTTACTCTTTATGTGTACTGTTCAGTGGTGTTTAGTATTATCACTGAATCAGACAACTACCACCACTCTCTAATTTTAGAACATTCATCATTCTCAAAAGACACTTGTACCATTACCAGCTTCTCCTCTCAATCCCTAGCCACCACTCATCCACTTTCTGTCTCTAGGGCTTTGCCTGTTCTAGACAGTTCAGCTTAATGGAGTCAGTGCTCCAGGCCAGTTGTGTCACAGAAGGTCCCTTACCTTGAGTTTGGCTGGTGATATTCTCAAGATTCCACTCAGAATCTCTGTCTTTGCAGGAATATCACAGAAGGGACAGGTGTTCCCTGGGTGCATTGTATCAGGGAGCACACATTTTAATTGTCATTACTGATCATATTCTGTTTTTATTTCTTGATTAAGGTGGTGTCTGCCAGCCTTTTGCACTGAATTTACTGTTTTACCTATTGTAATTAATAGTTTGTGAGAAGGCTCTATGAAACTGCAAATATCCTGTTCCTCACCAAACTTTCAACTTATTCATTTATTGATTCATATCAATGTGGACTCGTGGACAATTATTACTTTACTCGGTGGGTTAAACACCTGTTACCATCATTACTTATTTTATGTTTACATTTTTGCAGATGTAGTTCATCCCATAGATGTTGTGTTGTACTGGCTTCGATGTCTTTTCCACCATCCCCATCAGGTCTTGAGCGTTTCATTTTGACACAAAATATTCTAAGTTAGTTGTGTTCCCAGCCCTGGAATCAACCATTTAAGAAGCCAGGTTGGTTTTATTGGAAAAAGGTATTTAGAAGCCAAAGAACAGATGGAATTTAGCACTTCCCACTATTGAAAATCATTGCTAATTAGTAGCAATAGGTTAAACCCAGGTGCTAGCAGGTGAACCAAATTAGAGGAAAGGAGGAAATAATGCTCCCTTTTTTGTGGGGAGGGCAGTGAGAATGTTGGAGGACTGACTAACAAACTGTGCTCCAGAAAAGACTGAGAGAACAATGCAGGCTGCAGGAGGAAGACCAGAACCAGCAGCCCCCGAGCAGATCTGAAGGAGCAGGAAGAACTGCAGGCCCATGAGCTCAGTGTGAGAGGTGGCCACACAGAGGGAAGCTGGATATGGTTGGGTGGACTGAGATGAAGTTGCCCTGCTCCACCTCTAGGTCATGTGGGAAGGTCCCGGCCACAACCTCACAAAGGGTTGGGAAAGAAAATAAATTCAGTTCAGAATTTAAATGGAAAACTTGAGTATGAAAAGTAGCTTCCTACGGATGAAACAAAACAAAACAGCCCTGGATGATGATAGACAGCTGGGGATGGGGGGAAGAGAGAGAGAGAGAGAGAGAGAGAGAGAAGAGAGAGAGAGAGAGAGAAGAGAGAGAGAGAGAGAGAGAGGCCAGTCAGCTGCTGTGTTAGACAAAGGAAGGAAGCCATCCATCTTGGACATTCCAGCCAGTAGAAGAAATGATAATGTGGGTATCACTATTGTCCAATGAAGATGATTCATGGATTGTAGAGGCTAAGAGGCTTAGAGAGGCTAATCTGTGGTGTCTAGATTTGGAATTCTATTCTACATACCTCTACTGGGAAGGGACCTCTTCCTGTAAAATGCCACCTTACTAGAAGAGGTTTTCTGTGCTCTCCCCTTGTGTGTGTGCACAGAGGAAGAGAGAGAGAAAGGGAGGGGCAGAGAGAGGGAGAGAAACTTGCTTATGCAATTGCCAAGTGTAAAATTTGTAGGGTGGGGCAGCAGGCTGGAAGGTCAGGCGGAAATAGTTGCAGTGGTCTTGAGACAGAATTTTCTTCTCCAGGAAACTGTTTTGCTTTAAAGCTTAATTAATCTTAAAGTCAATTGATTGCAGATCTTAGCCCCATCTACCAAAACCTTCACAGAAACACCTGCGTTAGTGTTGTTAACTGGGCACTTTAGCCCGGCCAAAGTGACACAAAAGACTGTGTCACAACTCTTTTGTCCGGGAGTGAAAGTAACTCTTCAGAATGACCAAAGTCTGCTCTGCCCTGGGTCCAACAGGCAGGAGTCCCCACTCTGCTATCAGGCTTCGGACCCAGATTTATGCCATCATAGAGCCTGGGAGGAGCAGCAGTCCTGTGGGTGAGAGACAAAGAGGGCACCCCAATTTCAGCATATATTTCGGTCCACTACAGATTCTTGGTTTTTAGTCATCAAGTAAGTAGATGCTTAAATAATTCTGAAATATTGCCAGTGGTAAAAGTTCCCAAACAGACTTTAAAGAGTAAGTAAAATATTAAAAAGTAATTAGAGGTAGAGCTAAAAAGCAAAAGCTGAAATCCATTAAACTAACAAAGACCATGACTCATGAAGTCCAACACCATGAAAGAATCCAGAGCAGAAGATAATAAAATTTGTTAGGAATTAAAAAGATTGAATCTTTACATAAAAGAACAATCTTTAAATTGATTAAAATAATTTCTTTAAATACTAGGAAGCAATCTTTGAGCATCAAGGGAAGTTTTTATGTAGATAAAGACTTTTTCCATTTATAAAATATTGGTCATGTACGATCCTCTTTGAACAAAGATGTGAGGAGAGCAGATATTAAATTGGGTAGGAAAAGGTAGAATTTTAATACACCAGAGTGTTTGGAAGGTAAAAAAAACCCAAACCAACCAACCACCCAAACAAACAAAAAACCTACGCCAAACCAAAATTTCACTGTGTGAGAGTTAACCTTGGCTTTGAGCTTCCTGGTAGTCAAAGTAAAAAGGAGAATACAAGAAACTCACCTTGGTGGTCTAAACGTGCATTTGCAATGAGGTATTATCACCCCCAGGAGTGAAGTGCATGTTATCAGACTTGTGTGGCTGTGGCCAAAATATCCGACATAAACAATGTAAGGGAATATTTATTTTGCTCACGATTTCAAAGGATTCATCACTTCACTGTCCATCATGGTCGGTCATTGGGGGAAAGAGTGGTGGTGGACCAGGGCACAGTGACCAGGAAGCAGAGAAAAGGAACACAGGAAAGGGCCAGAGCAAGATACAGCCCCAAGGAGGACCTGCCTACTTCCTTTCACCATTTCCCAATAATATTGTTATATTATGAGTCCATCAAGGGATTAATCCACTCATTAGGTCAGCGCCTCAGGGGCCAGTCATCTCTGGAAACACCTGCAAACACCCCCATGTTTGCTAATCTAGGCATTTCCTACCCTAATCGAGCTTGACAGTCAAGATAAACCATCACAGGGGACAAACTAGTCTTATAAAAGCATAGATATGCATACAGTACATAAATAGATATACAGTGTATTTGCAATTAGTTTTTAACTGTGGGGAGTGATTAGGGAAAAATTAATGGGTAAAATTCCTTGGAAGGTACCTGAAGAAAGATTGAGAAGCACTGTCTCCGAGGAGCAAGGCTTCCTGTAAGCCGGTTTAGCAAGCACGGACAAGGGGACACCGGGTAGAGGGCAGGTTCTTCCGGACTGGGGCTTTGATCTACAAGGTGAGAACTATAGATCGGATGTGGAATGTCCCCTAAGGGTCCATGTGTTGAGGGCTTGGTGGGATATGGTGGGACCATGGGGACATACCCTTCCTGTGCCCTCTGTCACAATGGACTGTGCTGCAAAGGCCTGAAGCAACACGGTCAGTCAGTCACAGACTAAAACATCCACAGCCATGTACCCAAATAAACCTTTCTTCTTTTTAAACTGATTTAACTCAGGTATTTGTTATAGTAATGGAAAGCTGATTAACACAACGAAGTACATCTTGTGTATGCATAGAGTTTGAGAAGCAACCTGGTTTGTGCCTGTATCAGCATATTTATAATTTATTTTAGGAAATTTCTGTGACATGTAGGCTGTCTTCTTTTTTGTCTTCCTGAACTCTGTTCTGCATTCACTGTGGATTTCCCAGCTCTCAAGACCAGTGTGTGGTCAGGGGTGGCTCTAGCTGGGGTTGTATTACTTGAGGGCAATCCTGTGAGATCAGGAAGAATCCCACCAGATGACACCCCACAACAAACTCCCATTTCAGTGGGGTTGGGAAAAATTCCTACAGGTTTTGTGCCTGCGTGTGTACCCAAAAGAAAAAATGCTATCTTCACAGTCGTTCAGTTCCCTGGGGGGACTGGGTATTTACAAGTATGAGAAGAGGCTTGCGTTTCAGTTTTTAAGTACAGCAAACTAGAACAGGATAGCTGGTGAGCAACATGAAGGATGCCTTGGGGTTTGTGGGTTCTGCAGTGGTCTCCTCCAGGCTGGTTGGCTGGGGCAGAGGAGTACATTCTTACAGATTGAACGCGTTTTGGAAGAAGGGAGGTGAGAGCCCTTCACACGGAGTGGAGGGCACAGACTTTTTTATTTCTTGTATCCTAACATCCAGCCTGGCAGGCCCTGGAGAAAGCTCTCAAGTGCCAGAGCCTCTCAAGTCAAATCACACACCCCACTAAACAAAGCCCTCTCTCAAATTAGCAGCTGCAAAGGCTGGACAAGAAGGAGGCATGAGCAAGAGGGAAGGAGGTATCAACGATATGCAGCCACAGTCCCCGGGATCCACCATCCGGAAGAAAGCTTCAGGGAGCACCCATTTCCATCCGGGATCGGAGGACATCTGCACCTATGCAGGGATGTGGTACTTTAATCTGGGCCCCAACCCAGAGGCTACCGGACTGAGATGACTAAAAGTTACGTTTGAAGAAGTGTGCACATATAAATGTGTTTTTAGGAAAACACATTTGTGTTTTAGATAAAGGATAAAAACAAAATAGGCTAGACACTGGAAGTCTTTTTTAAATAACATTTTATTTTTCATTGTCAATGATTAACTTTGAGGCTTACTAGGAAGAGTATCAATCAGGTGAATAAAAAATATAGGTGGTAGAATAAAAATATTAGGTTATACAAAGTTAGTTTTGTTTTTAAATCATTGCCCACCAACATTTCCAGCCCTTAGAGCTCTGAAAAACAGATTTAACTTGTGGGCGTTTTTTGTTGTCTATTTGTTTGCTTTTTACATTTCCATCAGTTAAAAATTAAGAACACATATTAAGAATCCATTTGTGGATGCCTATTACAATAAACAGAAGGACCACAAAAATTAAAACAAGTTCTAAGAACCGTAATATATACAAACTTCTGTACAGCATGAGAACACAAAGAATTCACCCAATTAGAACCATCTCTTGTGGTACACATAGTCTCTTTTCAAAAAAGAATGAAACTTACCTTCCTAAACTCATATTTATTTTTCCATTTGATCCAGTATGTTTAATGCTGTTCTCACTCCATAAATTAGTAACTGTTCAGTAGCTGAGAAATACCCTATTTTAAATGATACCAAGATAAAGCAGGAAGTTCCCTGAAAGTGGAACTAAGTTGCCTGACATAGGCTGCAGATAGACCCAACCGACGCAGAGTCACACCACGGATGCAGCAAGCAGGGGGTGGGCCAAACATCTCGAGAGAGTGAGCGAGGGTGGGCAGCAGTGAGAACACGGGGGTTCTCACGGGTGACGTCCTCACCTCTCCCACTTGGCTGACTCAGATCAGCTGAGCTCTTTTTAACACACGTCATTTGGCACAAAAAGAAAGGTTGTTAGGGCAAGACTGAGGCAGGCTCTCAAAGACCGAACGCTCGGGGGCCCCCAACTTTGATAAGCACAAGGTACGTCCTGGCCCCATGCCCACCAGGCTCCATGATAGTGATCAAGGGCCACTCACTTTCATGGGTAGAAACAACTCCTTTTAAGGCAAAACCATTGCACTACAGGTCAGACATCACAGGCCCAATGAGGTAAGCACCAGACACGAAAGCCGAGGGAGTTAGGAGGACAGCTCGCTCCTCTGAGGCAGGCTCTCTGCATTCACTGCACGATCCCGGAGTCCACCGACGTCTGTTTGCGGGTCGTCTTTGGAGGGGGAGGAGGTGGAGTTTTGCTGGGCAGTGGAGGTGGCAGATGCTAGAGGACAGGAATATGAGGAAGACATCACACTACTTACGCCCCCACAAGAAAGCACCTGTTTCCAGGTGGGGCCTTACCTAGCACAATGGTTGTGGTGGGAAGTTAATCCACTTAGCTGGACTGGAGCTGCCCCTCCATGTGACTTGGGCTTCTCACTGTGGGCTGTTTAGGGCTGGCAGGTCTGCTACACCCAACACTGGGCTGCCTTGCAGCCACAGTCCTGTCCAGTGTCTCTTAGTACCTTCTCTCAGTCTGCCCAGCCTTTGAGAAGCTCAACTACTATTCTTGGCTGTTAGATACAGTGCTATGGGTCTAGCAGGGGGACAGGCATGTCCTTTGAAATGTTCTCCAGGGGTGAGAAGAGACATCCTTCCTTTCTGAGCTGAAAGCCAAGGTCAGCAAGCTTTCTTGGATTGGGCTAGAAAGTCACTATTTTCAGCTTTGTGGCCCCTAGTTGAACCTGGGAAGCAGCTAGAGATACTACACAAAGGAGTGGCTATAGCTGTGGTCCACGAAAACTCTACAAAAACAGATGGCTGGCTGGATTTGCCCCACAGAATGCCTTGGAGTCCCAAGAAAAAAAATGAAAAAAAGATTCCCAAGAAAGAAAAAGCCCTGCCTAATGGACCTGCTTGCTGAGGTGTGAATGACTCGAGCAGTGGCTGCCCTATTGCTCTTGCGACCCTCGTGCCCATCACAGGCACAGAGAGAGGTGATGCTCCGTAGATGTGAGTTGATCACAAGGGTAAATGAGTGAGCAAGGCCCTGAGTCAGTGAAGGGAGAAATGAGCAGAGCCAGGGAGGGGCGGGGTGCACACCACAGACAGAACAGTTGGGATGAAATCTCAGCACACCATCATGTAACTTAAAACGGTAAGAGAGGATTTTTTTGCAGCCTCTCAGTGGAAGTTGGCATGCAGGTAAATGTGAAAAAGGAAGTTTTTAAGGACAGATCAGTGACGCAGATGGTCCCTCACTCGCTGCCCAAGTTTCCTCCTGACTCACAGACAACACAAGAATGACCTACAACTGACAAAAGAATATTTAGGCACTATAAAAAAAGAAAGTGAAAAATAAAGTCTTTCTAAGGTGGGAAGAACAGTTAAAAGACAGACCCAGTTCAAGATCTGATAACCTTGCGTGTATTTACATGAGAAGGCCGCACTGACAGGCCAGGAGCAAATAATCTTGGGCCAAACCAACACAGCCTGATACAAACTGATGCTGAAGATGGCCCTTGTGCCAAATATGAGAATGTCAGGTTTGTCACCATTAAGCAGAATGATAGCTCAGATTACTGGTCATAAGAGCCATTCCCAAATAAGTGACGGCTGAAAATAGCAGCAACTAGAGATAGACCTGCCTCCAAGCCTGCACCGATCAATGAGAGTGACAGGGGGATATTGATCATCTCCCAAGGCAGACGAACAGTCATTATCCTAAAGTGGCTCCCAGGGCCTGCACAAAGTGAGGCACCCTAGGAAATACATTGGTAAGAATGACGTGATAACCACCAGCCTGTCACCTCTCTGCTTCAGGCGAGGTAAACAAGAAACAAGAAGCAAAGAGAGCTGGGTAGTTAATTTAACTGAACTCACCCCCTTTATAAATGGAGCTGAAGATGGTGCATATTAGTTCTAGACCTAACCAGCCACAAGTGGCACCAGTAACTGGGAATGATGCATCCCAGAAAGTGACACAAGCAAATGCTACCCCTGAGTTGATTTGTAACAAAAATGGACTTGGTAGTAATTTCAAGCTCAGAATTTTAAGTTTCCTAGTATAGGGAGACGTGGGGGGCAGTTCTGCTTATCTAACAAAATAGATATGTAAGCAACTAAACCATTAGCATTCAAAGCCAAGGTCCCCGTGTGACTCCCTGAGTCTCCTTCTGTGTTAATATGTAGTTACAAGTGTCCAGGAAGGTCAAGTTTTACATTCCTGTGCTTGAGTGCTTGGGTTTCCTGGAAATTCCCCTTTGCAAGGGAACCTGGTCCCTTCTTCAGGGCCATCTTCCTACTGTGACATCTCTAGGGAGCCTGCAACTATGTTAGTGGAGCTGTGGCCTCAGAAGAGCCACCTGTCCTTTCAATATCTGAAGTCTCCCTGCTTGCTTTTCCTTTGACAAAAAATAAACATACTATCTCTTCCACTCCTCTCACAGAGAGAGAGAGAGAGAGAGAGAGAGAGAGAGAGAGAGAGAGAAACTACAGAGCATTCAGAGAAAAAGTCTCCATAATGTTTGAATTGATAACCCTCTGGTGCCAAAAACAGACACACAAGAGATAGAAAATCTTGACAAGGTAATTTCTCTTGATCAAGAGGGTGCACGCATGTGCTCACTCCTGCTAAGCAAACACGCAAGCACAAAATGGCTGACAGTGGCTCCTTATATCCCTGATGCAGTTGTACCTGCCCCTCACCTGGGATTTGTCCAGGTCAAAGGTTCACAGTCTTTCCTGATTGGCTAAAAGGCTTGGGGGATGGGTTAGGGCATGCAGTTTGGCAGGCACTGGAGTTGTTCAGGAATCCGGAAGAAGAAGCAAGGACCCTTTAAACATGCAAGTCACCTAAGGTGGTGGCCTGAGGAATTTTTAAGTAATCTAAGAGGGTGACGAATACTTTGATAGAAAAGATCATTTTTTTTTACAATAAGAAAGAAAAAGGCTGGTGGAGTGGTACAGTGCCTATCTAGGAAGCATGAAGCCCTGACTTCAAACCCCAGTGCCACCAAAAAAAAAAAAGGAAAAATAAATGGCAAGCAGAATTTATATTGTTTATGAAGACATAAAAAAACCACACCTTGCCAGCCACCTATCAACTTCATGTCTTCACTGTTCTATGGAAGTCCTGGGATCATATAATTACTTTATGGGGGCTGAACAGAAAAAAAATATGACCAGCTGCACAAATGTGACCAGGGATATTCACTCTTTAGACTGAGCTGATATAGTTTTCCAAGGCTGTGAATGTGTCCTGGGTGGGTGGGTAGGTGTGGGGGGTGGGCCTGGAAGTGGTTGTTCAGCAACTGCATAAGTCCCACATGCTCCTCCCCAACTGACCTCCACAGGCCCAGCACTGGACAGGCCTAAGGGCTGAGCCATGCAGGATGGTGGCCATGAGGACCAGGAGTACAACACAGTAAACCTAAAAGGAGTGATTCTGCAACTGGTACCAGAGGCCCTGATTTAAATGGCTTTTAAAGATTTTTTTGCTAATTATTTGTATTAGTGGGCAGGCCCTCAGGCCACTTAACAGGGAGCCCCCCAAGTGGATTAATGACTAAATCAGAGTGTCCAAGGGGGACAAGCCTGGGAAACAGTGTGGAAGAGGGTTCAGTGTGGCTGCTCACACTCATGCAGGTTAGTACTGATAGAGGAAGCCAGGTTGGGACATAGACAAAAGTTGGGGAGTCCCAGGCTTGGCAGTGCAGTGAGGGGCAGCTGTGCCCAGTCTGGAGGCAAACTGTTGCCACTCTGCAGGTCCTAGTGACCAGTGCCTGTCCCTGCCCAGGGGCTCCCAGCATGAGGGTGAGGCTGCCTGGAGGAATCACTGGAACATGACATGCCCTCCTTCAGGGCCATGTTGTTCAGCAGAGTGTGCCTCCTCTACAGTCAACACACAGACAACAGTCAGACATTGTGGCAGGAAAGCTGCCTCAAAATCAAAATTTCACAAGAATGGCACCTCCAGCAAATGACCTCTGGGCCATGAGAGCCACTGGAACTTGTAGTCCTCTCTTCCTGGTTCCGAGGCAAGGTGTCACAACGTGTGCTTTACTGCAGTTATTGGGAATGATATACAGAACCACAGATGGTACACACTATCTGTGTCCCCATCACTCTAACATCTAGACACATCCTGTGTTTTTCCTCATTGGCCCAAGGTACACCTGCTCTCTGGGAGGAGGGATTCCTGTGTGGCACAGCAGAGGAAATCAAAGCCCCATGTTATAGATCCCCACTTACTCTCTGGTGTGGAGGAGGGGGTAGAGGTGTTGGCGAGCCCATCAAATCCTGGTTTTCCATCAGGTTCCCATAATCTGCCATGCTGCCTTTGAGAGGCAGAGGGGGAGGGACATCAGTCACGTCCATCCCGGTCATGCCATTCAGTTCCAGACCTGGAAAATCGAGATCTATTTAAAATCAGGTCAACATGGCCACCAAGACTGATGGCCCATGGGCTGCTCCTTATTCTTCACTCAAGAAACACTCTGTCCCACAGAAACATCTGCCAGTGGAGCAGAGAAGAGAGCAAGAAGGAGGTAAAGAATACAAAGGGTGGAATTCCCTTCTAATGGAAGGTTTTAGAAAGGGAATAGCAAATACCATAAGACACCTAAAATCAGGCATCAGTTCTCCATGAAAACACTAATGTCAACCCCCCTCTGCCTCAGTGGCAGCCACCCAGTTGTTGGGACAAGGATTGTTCATAGCTGCTAGCGAGGCCCTGCCAGGCTTGTAGTTTGCCTGCCAGGCACTACCTGGAGAGTTTTACCAGGTGAAGTCTGATGATGGGGCACACAGTTAGACCCTCACGTCTCACCTCTCCCTCACCAGGAAAACCCACAATTGTAGGAAAGGAAGATATCAGCTGACACCATCACTGAGGCCGTGGCTTTTGTAAGCCAAGGGAAGTATAACTGACTATTAAAGCAAACCAGAAAATGGCGGTTTTCAGATGTAGGAATGATCACTGAGGCAGGCTGTTTTCTCACCACTTGTTGAGACTCTTGGAAATAGTTTGTTTTTTTCTAAGTCAAACAGAAAAACTGATATGTTTACTGATGAGTGTCCTTTAGAGTTTTCCCCAACAATTCATCTGAGGACAAATCCTTCATAAGGAAGTGAGTCCTGTCAGAGGATGTGGGTTCTTGGTCATGGGGCTGTGGAGTCCAGGAAGGAGGCTTCTGGCTGAAGCAGGCAGTGTTGCCTGTTTGTTTCGTGTGGCAAAACCAGAAACGACCAAAAATCCGCCATTGTACTCTTTTTTAGTGTACAATCCAATAGCGATGACATTGAAGATGCTGTGCGATCATCACTCCAGACAGGAAGTCTGAACCCATTAAGCAACAGCTCCTACCCTTACCTCCTGCAGCCCCAGTACCTCTATTTCTGTCCCCATGAATTTGCCTATTCTAGATATTTATTCCAAGTAGACTTGTATAACATATTCCTTTCCTTTGGTGATTGGTTCATCTCACTTAGCTTAGTGTTTTCTAGGTCTGTCTATTTTGCAGCAGGTGTCAGAACTTCATTACTTTTTTATAGCTGCATATTTTATCATATGGATATTTCTTTGGATGCATATTTTTAAAAATTTCTGCATCGGTTGAAGGACATTTGGCTTTTTGTGAACAATGTCGCTGCCCACATTCATGCACATATACCCATTTGAGTTCCTGTTTTGGATCCTTTGGAGTATAGGCCTAGGAGAGGAACTGCTCTAGATCATGGTAATTCTATGTTTTAAACATTTTTTTAAGTGTAAAAAATAAGCTTAGAAGAGGATCATGTGATAATAGAGTGAAGGATGTGGAGGGGTGCCAGCACCCAAAGCACTCTTTTCTTACTGAAGTGGGCCTCTTTAGCCACTCTTGCAGCCAAGACATACACTACCTGATGGTCTCTGAATCACCACTGCTCCCCTTTCAGCAAGAAGAAACCAGGTGCCCAGGACCCTTGTTGACAGCTGCACATCCCCTTCTGTCTTGGTCCCCTCTCTCTGGCCACAGGAAGGAGTGGCCCTCACTTTCTCCACTCCTTTCTCATGGTCTGAATGTACCACTTAGAGTGGGTTGGGCAGTGTCCCTCCAAATGTAGACTTTTGTGGTCCATCCAGAGCCTCTGGATGTAACCTTATTTAGAAATACAGACTTTGTAGATGCATGATCACCCAGAATTTATGGTGGACTGTGTATTTAATGACTGATGTCCTACAAGGAAAAGAAACAGGAGGCCAGGTGAAGACAGAGGGAGAGACTTGAGTGATGGGCTATAAGCTGGAAGCCTCCAGAAGCTGGGAGAGAGGCCTGAAAGACCCTCCCTCCCAGTTTTCAGAGGAACCAACTGGCCAATACTTTGATTTCAGACTGCTGACCTTCAGACCCAGGAGAGAATACATTTTTGTGTCAACCATGAAACTTGTGGTGATTTGTTATGGCAGCTCTAGAAACTAGGCAAAAACCAAAAAAATAAGTTTTGTCTCTGTACTCTTCTACCTCACGCAGAAGTACAGATGGACAAGGCCCCAAGATGCTGTGAGATCCCATGATGACAAAAGGGGGCCACCCCAGGGCCTCTCAGGTACCCTCGCAAGGCACAAAGTCAGAGACTGGGGAAGACCCTGTACTCAACACCCACCAAGTTCTGAAGCTAAGGAGAGGTTTTGGTCTGATTTGCTGGAGTCCAGTGTCTCCAGCCCTTGTGGAGGGACTTCCCTGAATTCCAGGTGTTTATATAAACTCTCAACCTGCTGCTGGGGGAAGGGGTCCTCTGTGGAGTCATGATCAAGGGGGCAGTCATGGAACACCACCACAATCTCTGACATGGGAAATGCTCTCTCACTCACTGGACTGTACGCTGAAGCTGAGCTTGGCCCTTGGTGTGACTGGAGGGGGTGTCTGCTGAGTTGGTGATGTCGGGGACACTGAGAAACGCCTTTCGCTTCCGATGACGCTGATCACCTGGCTCTTCGGTCTCTGGGGCCGCAGCGGACTTATCTACATTGGAGGGACAGAAACGGCATACTTAAGGACTATATGGACTGAGCTGTGCTTCTCCCAAATTCCTAAACTGAAGCCCTAGTCCTCCACAACCCCATACTTCACAATGTGTATTTGAAAGTAGAGACTTTGCAGATGACCCAGCTAAGATGACATCATTAGGGTGGACCTCAATCCTCTAGGACTGGGTTCCTTATAAGAAAAGAAAATTTGAGCACAGACATGCACACAGGGGTACGTTATACAAAGATGACAGCAGAGATTCGTACTGCTTCTACAAGCTGAACAACAGCGGGGAGAGGCCGGGAGAGTCTCCCTCCCAGCCCCAGAAGGAACCAACTCTGCGGATGCCTTGATCTTGGACTTCTGCCCCCAGAATTGGGAGAGAGTAAATTTCTGTTGTTTGAGCCATCCACCGAGTACAGGGTACTTAGTTACAGCAGCCCAACCCCCCAGTAAAGGGTCTCACACTAATCCTCTGACTGAGCTTGGGTGGCCAGCTCTTCTCAGGTCTTTCAACATATTATACAAATGGCAGAACACGGTGATAAGCCACTCAGATGCTCACAGCAAAGACCCAGGGAAGCCCCCAAAGGGTCAAGAATGGAATGAAGGTCTGGAAACTTTGGCAGGACTTTTGTTTCCCTTTCTTCCATTTCTTTTCTTATGCTGCATTGTTATTGGGTAGGAATTCTTTTTCTTTATTGTTCCTGCTGGACTCTGACTTCTGGATGCACTTGACTTTTTCCCACCTGAGTCCTTTGTCTGTCTTTGTTACAACAGTAAATTTTATTTATGTATTTCTTATAACTTGGTCTCACATCATTAGGCCTTAGGGGAATATCAGCAATTACAAAATACTCTGAGGTAGCAGTAATCAGAAAAGTTATTAGCACAGTCAAAAAGCAGGAGAGGACACTGTCTCCCTAGGAGGGGGAACAGCCAATGGCTCTGGGCTTGGTGCTGCTGTCTAATTGGAGGCCTGGCAGGCTTGCCCAGCAGGTTTGAGTGAGTAAGAGCAGGTGGGCTATAATGTCCATCCCAGAAGAGGTCCACAAAGCCAGCTGAGTCCAGGGCTACTGAGGCCGGAAGTAGGGTCTGGGGCCCAGCAAGCAGGAGGGGTAGGCCCTCTGGTAAATGAGGGATCTAGGGCCTCAGCCAACAGGCCTACTACAGACCCAGGCGCTGCACCTCTACAGAAATCATGAGTTCCAGCAGCCTCACTTCTGGGGGATGTCTGGGGAGGTCCAGCTATGGGCTGGGCTTTCAGGCTGATATGAACAGGAACTGTGACAGGGATTCACGGACCTTCAGGAGAGTCAGACAGCATAAAGCTGTTTACTGGGAAGATGCATTGGTGGCTTGGAGGCCCAGCTCGGAGAGGCTGGGACTTCTCTCTGCTGGAGGTACAGAGAGGTTCAGTTAAATGTCTTGAAATTGTAGACGATGCAAATGAAGCAAGAAGCTGAGCCCACTGTCAATGGTGAGGAGAGAAGCCTTAGTAGACGCTGAGGCCAATGAGACAATGCCAATGCCAGGTACCCAGAGAACACTAGGGGGCACTGGAGCTGTCCAGGGAATGCATTGCTACTGCTTCCTTCCAGCGTAGCTCCCCCTCCCTGATCAGGGGCCATGGCCTTCTTCTCTGCCCTCCCTGCTCCCGGTCCTCTTAGAGGCCAGCCTAGGAAACTCCAGGAGCCTGGCTCTGTCCACACAAACCTTGTCAGTTACCTGTACCCTGGAGGGGATGCCTACCCTGCACCCAGCTGGATGTCAGGATCCCTGGCCTCCTGGTGCTACAGCTCTGGTGATTCTGAGCCTCAGCAGATTTTGACAGTGAAGTCAAGGTTCTGTGCTCTGACCTTGCAGAGTTCCCCTGGATCTGCTGAAGCCGTCGGCCCATGGGTACCAGGCCCTGTCATTTGCAGGTATTCTCACAGGGAGACTGGGCCACCACTGGGAGGGGCAGAACTATGACCTAGGACTTCTTCTACACAACTCAACTGTGGTCATCTCTGCCACTTCCCTAAAGCCCTGTTTCAATATTTTCAGAAGTCACCTGGGCTTAAGATGAGATCTCAGACACTGGGTCACTAGGGCCACTGGCACCCCAGTTTTCCAGAATAGTGGACAGAGGATGTCCACTCAATGCACTGCTTGAGTCCAGTGACTGGGCACTTATTGCCAGCCTCTGTCCAGTGTGCCCTGGGCTCAATACTCATGGTCACCTACATGCTATACTAAGACAAGGAAGCCCAGCTGCAGTCAGAGCACATGTCCACAGGCCAGAGGGACGTACACTTTCTTGATCTATGGCATGGTTCTGGTCTCTTCCTTCCACATCTAAATGAGCAACCAACCAACATGTGACCGCTGGTGGAGCTGTGGCATAGCCTCTGTTTTTTAAGATATAAAAAGCAGTGAGGTATGTTTTATTAAGAAGTGATCCTGTCTGAGACCTTTGATGAAACACTTTAATCACAGCCAAGACAGAACTGCCAGGTCATGTGTGATTGCCCAGGGAGATGCCACTGACCAGGTAAGCACCCATCTATGTCTGGAGCTGGGGGACTCCAAGCTTGACTTCATCCTAAATTTGACAGTCTGTAGAACTCTGTCTGTCTTCACTGCAGTCTCCCTACAGCACTTCCTGGGGCACTCTGGGACTCATTTCTGCACTTAGACCCCAAATACTTCTCTGTGCTTCTGGAAGGCCCATCCTAGAAGCCTGGGGGGCTTAGCTCATGATAAGAGCACGCTCAGGACTCTAGGGTGAAAGCAACTTACTGGGCTCTGTCTTTAATGTCGACTTGCTAGCACCTGTCATGTTAGGTCCCTGTAAATCCTTCTGAAAGATGGCCAAGTGATTTGGATGTGCAGCAGATGAGGTGGGAGGATAATAGGGCACGGAGTCCAGCTGGTGGAACCCATAGGAAAGAGACTTTTAGATGCTGGCTGAGTGGATTATAACACTTGGGCAGGGCTGTGGCTTAAAGATTTCTGGTCAGGAAGGGGCAAGGAAGATGCATTAACTGACACAGAGCCCTGCTTTCTGACAATCAAAGATGCCTGCTCATCTTCCCAGATGTTAGGACATATGTGGACACCAAGTCCAATAGATCTTAGAGCCTAGAAACAGAAGGGCCCTGGTAGAGACTAATCCACTGAACCTCTGGAAGGAAGGATGAAGGTTAAGCCAGCATTCTCCAGAGAAAAGATGGCTGGACTCTGCATCTCTGATTGCCCTGCAGCATCAGGCTATTTGAGGTTAGGGTTGAGGGAGACCCCATGTTTTCAAGTTACTATTTTTGTGAAAATTTAATAAAAACCATCTGACAGTGCTCTTGGCTAGATGTGGAGCTGTGGTGGGCTGCTAGGCTTCCATAGAGTGAGGCAGATCCCCAAATAAATTACCGTTTCTGAGAGGATCACAGCCTCAGACTGCTGCAGGGAGCTGTCGGCCGGCTTCAATTCTTTATCAAATATCTCCTGGTGCTTGCTGTTCCTTTTCTCCTTCTTTTTGTCTTTCTTCTCCTTCTCTGGATCGTCCTTGTCCAGCTTGTCCTGGGACCTGGAGTGCATTTTCTTTGGCAGTAGGGGTTCCAAAGCAAACCTAAAATAATAATATAAACAAACCAGTTCTTTAAATCAGTGATGTCTTCATAGAAGAGCAATTGCTTCTCACCATGCATGATGCATCTCAGTGCTGACTGGGAGCCACAGACTCTTATAAGGAAGGGAGTGATTCAAAAAAGAGAGGCAGTGGGGGACTTCAGACACAGTGGCCAATCGTAAGGAATGTGTTTGGATCCAAATAAAAACAAGCTGGAAAAAGGACACTTACAGAACAACAAGGGAGAGGGGAAGTCTGGCTGTATGTTTGTTGACATTAGGAATTTTTTATGCTATATGATGGAAGGATAGTACTTTAGGCACACTTAGAAATTTATGGACACATTCACAAATGCAATGGGGAAAACATGCAGATGTCAATGTGAAAGAACTTCTGATTACTTTGATTCTGACGGAGTTTCTCTGATTATAGATATATTGGTTGTTTCCTAGTGAAAGCCCTTTGGATGGTTTGGCCAGAAGTAAGCAACTTTGTTGGAGATGCCCTTGGGTTTAAGCTTTGTCACCTGCTTGTGAGCCTTCTGTCCTCTAGCCCTGGAAGCTTCATGTTCTCATTCCCAAAGGGGACCAAGGACACCTTCACTGTTCTGTCTTCTGACACTGAACAGTTGGTGTAATGGTTAGGTTGCTGAGTGAATGGATCTTGGACTTATTTGTAGGCATGTGTCAGAAGGTCAGTGTGCACACACATGTAAACACAACTGTACTTTGCTATTTCAGCATTAGATCTGCATGTGTATCGATTCTCAGCCTAGTAAGTCATACTGGGGGGGGGAAGAAATGGATCCAGTGCTCAGGTTGGAATTTCATTAATCCCTACAGCTGTAAGGAGGAGTGCAGACAGTGACCCAAATGTTTTCAAGGTGTGAACACACCTTAAAAATCTTACCGTACAACCTCCACATCAGGAAATGGAAGGAAAATGGTTCTTTAAATTAGTGGTATCCAAATGGACCATGAAAGATATTGCTGGAATTAGCATGCTGCATTTCCAAAATATATGATGTGAAAAGAGATATGGTCTCTTAAAAGCTGCTATACTCATACAGTCACATAGTCTAACAGCGTTGTGATTTCTGATGACTGTGTCTTCTAAGCGTGTGGCCACATTGGTTCCATATGGTCAAGAAAAGGACATCAGAGAAGCTCCTTGCTCTCCACCTGCCAAATGTCCAGGCAGTCCCTGAGCCAGGTGGCAGGGCAAACTCTAGCCCCCTGTAATGCACATGGAGCTGGCCCTAAGCCAGCTTTTGGGAGCTTCCAGCCCTTAGCAGCTTCCAAGCCTGACTTTAAAGAGAGATTGATTTAGAGAGAAGAAAACTGAGAAAGACAGTCACATTCTCATCATAGCTATGGTTCTTCTCACACTGATTTCTGAATGGGACATTTGGAATAAAACCACTGCTCCAATTAAGAAGAGGCCACTGCAGCAAACTTATTCTCCAATATGGGATGCGTAGCATGGAAATCAACCCTTTGATGGACCAGGGATGGAAAGACCAGCCACAAAGTGGGATGGAAAGTCTATTGGAGATACAGACTGCTGAGAGCAAGAATCACAGCTCCGTTTCACTTCTCCCACAGTAACAGGGCTGTAGGGTGGGATCTGCTGACAAGGTACAGATCTATTTCAACAGTAATGGTGTTGAACCAAAGCATTTGATTACCAACAGCTGTTCAGATCTCCAGAAGAGAGAAAACCAGTTTTGATGTACCTCTGAAAAGAAGGACATACAGCTACACATGAAGTCCTCTGACCCCAATTGAAACTGAATCTGATCAAACCTCTAGCTTCAAGTCACAATGTGGAGGAAATATGGTGGATAGACACACACATCAAACAACACAGGAGGGTATATAGTCAGTACAATTCAGATGGCAGACATAACAGGAGAGCAATCAGGACTGTTCAATAAATAAATTATAAGGAGAATAAAACATTTTTAAATTGGATTGAAAGAGACTCAATTAAGTGTAAGGTGGGGACCTTTTCTAGTATTGTTTCAAACAAACAAAAAAATGTTTATGATAATGAGAAAATAACACTAATATGTCTTGATGATATGGAATTTCTGTTATTTTAGGTGTGATAATAAAGCAATGCTGTTATTTTCTACAAAATAGTTATCTTTTAGATATGCATATCTATGGATAAGATTACATAATGTTTGAGATTTTCTGCAAAATCAAGTACGGGATAGGGAGTGGGTTGCATCCGATGAAAAGAAGATTGGCTATATTGATATTGTTGAGGTTGGGTGACAGAACATTGGGCCCCATTAAAATAGTCTCTCTATGTTTTATCTATCTGAAAATTTCCTATAAGAAAAATCAAAAACTTGAAGATGATTGATGAAATACACCAAAATTGACTTTGAGGATGAAGGCATTTTGTAACACTTGGACTTTCCAACTGATATAAATTAACCAATAAATCAACATCCATTAGGTATGAAATATAATACCTAGCACATTATAAGCAACAACCAAAAATCTTTGTCATTTTATTCTTGGTCTTGCAAAATTGGAGACAATTAATGTAGGCAAAAAAAAAAAAGAAAAAAAAAAGGATTAGTGGACACCTTTTCCTGGAGGAGAACTTTGCCATCCAATCCTAATGAGTATCCCAAGAACCAGAGAAAGACTGGTGGCTTTCAGTTTCTCACATTATGAGAAGCATCTGTTGGCAGGAGGAATTTCATTCTGCATGTGACCTGTGCCATTTTGAGACCAAGCCTCATTTTCTCCACATTAGATAGAGAGCAAAGGATGGCAACCCCAAGAATGAACAAAAATCTGGACTCTAATGAAGATGGCTTTCAGTTATAGGTTAAACAAATGCCTCCTGGGAGGAGCCAACTATAGTACACCTCTCTCCATCTAAAATTTCTCCATCAACTTCCATCTAATCCCCGTGTTCTCAGGAACATAAAAATGTTTTCCTAACTAGCCTGGGGATTCTCTTGAAGGGAAGTGGCATTAAATTTCTCTAGCAATCGTGACAGGCACACATGATTTAAATACCTCTAAACGGAGAACTTCTATATGAGTTTGGCCTTCTAAATATCAGGCACTGATCGAAATTACTGTTAAGAAAAAATGTGGGTATAGTTTACAATTCTCCATTGGCCACATTGATCATGGGCAACCAAAGGCACTTAGACTTGATCTTTCCCTTGGGGCTCTCTGGAAATCTGTGTCTGTATGCCAAAGGAGCCAGGAACGTATGGGTTTAAATCAGCTTGGACAAACACATACATGTGCAAAACTCAACAGTGAAACAATGAAAAGTTCTCCTCTGATGTTTAGATGCATGAAGCATTTTTCCATGCAATCTAATAAATAAAGAATACATGTTACAAGGTTGGCACTCGGAAACTCAAAAACACCAATATTGTGGTTATCTTTGCAATAGTCTGAGCTAACGCAAAGCCACAGTGAGTGCTCAATGAATGTTACTTAATGAATCCAACTATCCCTTTTATGGGTTGCCAAGTGGTCTTGCAGGCAGGGGATCCATGACCCACTCATGTGTGTTAGATGCTTCAAAGTCAGAGGAGGAAAGGAGTGGTAGTTGCTGGGTGGGGGATGTGGAAGAACTGCAGGTGCTGTTCAATAGGAACAGAACTTCATAGTTTTTTTTTTGATGGTGGTACTTGGGTCTGAACTCCAGGCCTTACGTTTGCTAGGCAGGCACTAGCAAACTGGCTCCCCCTTGAGCCATTCTGCCAGCAGAGTTTCAGTTTTAGAAGATGAAAAAGAGTTCTAGCATTGATGGTGGTGATGTTTGTGCAACAATGAGATTGTACTTAATGCAGTGAACTGTGTACAGAAGACCCTTGGAATCTGCTGGTCAAGGGTTCCAAGGGGATAGCCACTGAGGAAAAACAGTGAGTGCTCAGGAAACCCAGAGCTCAGCTCTCCAAAATGAGTCAAATTCACCTGTACCGCACATTCAGTAGGTCTGAGCGTCCATGACTTGAAACCACGTGGAGAAGGCTACGTTACAGTCACACAATTACTGCTGTCCACACCAACACTGCTCACCAAACCCATGGGTCATTCATGCTCTTTATCTTGAATAACGTGGATGCTTGGTTCATTTCCCATAATGTCACCAAACTTCCGCTAAAGACGTCATCTTTCAACAAATCTCAAACTTTTATTTTATCACCGAAATTAAGTGGGTTATCACCATAGCTTTTACCTGCTTTTAGGGCACCGTTTGCTTTTTGGGAGGCAAAATTTTTCACAAAATTAAGGGCAGGGAAAACTTGAGCAGATTCCATAATGATTTAGCCTAGCTGACAATAACACCCCGGGGTGGGGGGGTGTTGACCAAAGATTCTCTTCATCAACTGAGCTGTGTAATGCACAAGTGGGAATTAAATTTTTTTGGCTTTGAAATTTCTTTGGATTTTTACAAGTCATCATTTTTTTGATCAAGCCTGGTCAAAACCATGTGAGTAAATAAGGAGGATTTATGTACTTCAAAATGGTTTTGATGAGTAAATTTCATGGTATGTGCATTTTAACACAATCAAAAACTAGAAAGAAAGGATAATAGGTACCCAGTTTTGCAGGTGGTCATAGAAAGTTTGGGACAAATGGTTGTTCTCAGAAGTATTCAACTTAAATAACATTTCCTTTAAAAGATAACAAACCTCATCAGAAAAGAAAATACTTTTGTTCTCCAACAAACAACAACAAAAGAAGAGAAGTGGCCCATACAGTCCCTACGTGAGCCGGACTGTGACAGTCAGCTAGTGGGGGCAATGGTGGCTGCATCACACTCAGACCACACCAGTCCCCACCCTGGCCTGCCACCCTGCAGTGAGTGTGAGTTGAAGAGCGCAGAGCACACGGCCACAGGGACTGCAGTGCCCTTCTGCTAAGATGTGTGTGTTGACCAGGACTGAACTCTTGCTGGAGATTTCACAATTTGATGGATGCCTTTCTGGAAGTGGTACCAACGTGAGCACTTTTTTGCAGCAGTCCCAAGAACTTGAATGTCATACTGGGCACTACAGCCATAAAGCATTGGGAGGGTCTCCATTTCAAAGATAATATCAAATAAGAAAAATCCTCAACTGTGACAAGCAGTCCCAAGCTAGTGCTCCTCACGAGGACCCCTGGGCCCTTCCCTGAACTAAGCACCCCGCTACTGAGCTCACTCACCCATCGGAGCCTGGCCTGGAAGGGGTGCTGTCGGATGAGAGGGAAGAGACAGAAGCCACAGACAGAGGCCGGGACGATGATGGCATGGTGAAGGACCGCACCATGGAGCGGGGGCGGCTACCTCTTCTGTCGTCCAGATTTGAGGGCTGAAAAAGAAAAAAGAAAAGGGGAGAGAAAGACATGTTTGATACCTGTGCCCACCATGGCCAAACTCCTGTGACAACACTGTCTCAGCAGTATGGAATCTAGCCCACATGGGTTCACACTGCTATAAACTGCGCCCTTTTTTGTTCTGAAGAAAAAATGATGACTATATCAGCATCACTGAAACATGACTCGACGTAGAAAATACAAGAAAAAAACCTGCTTATTTTAAATGCACTTTTCTGAGACTATAATGTACAGCGCTCCGCAGTAGAACATGCCGACCAGGAAGCTTAATGTATAGAATAGCTTCTAGAATGTGAAAGAACATGCGGGATCCTTAGATGAATTCATCCCCCTTTCATGAGGGTACACGATGCAGATCTCTAAAACGCATGGAGCAGTCATGCCTGATCTCTGATGACAGAAGGTGGCTCCCTTCCCTGAGTGATCCTGTGACCAACATTCTGGGGAAAGCAGTGTCTAGGTGGTTTCCATTTTCTCGTTGGCATCTTGTACATTACCAAAACAAGCATCACTAAAGTGCAGCCTGTGTGAACACCTAATTAGCCAGGAACTGCTGAGTTACCTGCTCCTGGAGTCAGATGTTGGAATATCTGGGACCACAGCTGCTGCATAAGCAGTTTCCTGAACCTTAAGGATGTTGTAACCACGTTACTCTAGGGCACATCCTCTGTGCCCCTTCACCCTCCGCACTCCACTCCAGCATCTCAGCCAGCCATTCGTCTATAAGGAGATGTGCTCTGGACCACAGTTTCAGCCCTCGGAGATGAGAAGTGGTTGATTACAGACTAGTTACTGTCACTCTTACACCTGAAAAGTGGATTGGCTTCTCAAATGTGTAATAAAACCTGGTTTGATTTGTAACCTATATCCTTAATAGGAAAAAGTCTAAGAATGCAAAAGGGCAGAAGATGGCAAACTTTTTCTGTAAAGGACCAGATGGTAAGCATTTTAGGCTCACAGGTCATGGCCTGGGTGGAAAGTACTACCCCACTGTGTCATGATGGCATAAAGACAGACAGTACAGAAATGAAGGTGGCTGCATGCCAATAAAACTTTATTATCAGAAATAGGCCACGGGCCCTAGTTTGCTGACCACCAGCCATGATGCAGCTGGGATTGGGTAGTCCAGAGTTTGAGACTTTGCACCAAAGATGGGGCTGTGGACACCTCTGTGGACATGTCCATTGTAATTGATCAGTCTTTTTGAGGAAACAGAATGGAAAAGGTCACCGGTAGATTATCCCCAAGTGTGAAAACTTTCCTTGTGCAACTTCAGATTCAGTGTCTGTAACACATCCTCTTCTCAGCCTGTCTGCAACACAACCAGAGGTAGCCCTCAATCTCTTTCTCTCTCTGAAGAGTTTCTCCTTCAGCCCCTGGCTGGTCCCAGCAACCCTGTTTTGTGCCCTTGCTATTTCCAATATCAGCTACTCTATGTCCACTCTGACTGCCTCATCGGTCACCCAGCACCATCCCACCCATCTGGACATTGCATCGTGTCTCTGGCATCTCTGAGGGACTCAGACATATTTTGAAGAGATCTGGGGGCAGCTTTGGTCTTTCCAAATCCCCACTATGCCTGGACATTTCTTCCACAGAATGAGAGGCTCAGCTAGGAAAGGTGATTGTGTTTCTGAACACCCACATATCTGGGGAGGGGCTACCTTCCTACTTCCCCTAGAATCACCTTTGACTTGACTCCAACACAATCACTTTTGGATGCAGGCAGGGGAAGAAGGGAAGAGTCAGCAAGCTCAGGTTCGACTGATTTCTATGGCATGGAAAACTCTGCCTCTGTGTTCTATAACCACCTGGACATATGGAGAAGGAGCAGCCAAGGAGACAAAGCTCAGCCTATGGTTGAGAAGAAACATGACCTGCTGGACATGTAGGTGGGGCCCTGGTCCTGTGAGCCCTGTTTTCAAGAGCATCAAGCATGTTGTCCTTAATAAAATGGCCTTTCCAGCGGTCTGGAGGGCATGGGCTCACTAAATGAGCAGGATATGCAGGAGAGAGGCAATCAGGGACCAAGAAGTGGAGACACTAGGAGAGGCCAACCTCATACCAGCTCTCAGGAGCCCCTGAGCCTTCTACTGTCAACCATGGAGGGCTGGTAATGTCTCTTGAAAGGTGACCTCAAGTTTTGGGCATGCACTGGGACTCGTAAAAGAATGAGGATGGCAGAGGCTGGCTCTGACTGAGGAGGGACAGGAGCCCCTGTTGGAGTCCTACATTTTCAGAGAATTCGCTGGGGACAGCCATAGGCTCTGTAAGGCCATTTGCCTCACAATCCCTTCTTGATTGAGCAGAGCCCCTATAAACTGAGAAATAAGACTTTCATTTGTTTCATCTGAAGTAATTAGTCTTGCCCAGTCCCGACAGGTGTGGCTCCAGGGCCAGAATACCTGGGGCACACTGCTGCCTGCTTGTTCAGCCAGCAGGTTGGGAGTGGCAATGCTAGAAAAGGCTAGATCACTGGCCATATGGTGTGACCTTGTATGAAACAAGGAACCACTCTGAGCCTACACTTCCTTGTGAGCGTGCAGGGAACCAGCTCCCACACTGGGCTTTGGGGGAGGATTAATTCATTGATGCCAGTGAGGCCACAGGGCTTGGTGCATGTGAGCAGCAGCTCTCCTGGCCTTTGCACTGGTTCCTTTATAGTGAGAAGCAAAAACTTCCTTCAGCTCTCTTAGCTAGAGTGACCCATTGGCCCAGCCTGGTGCCTCTGGGCACCAACTTGGCCATGAATGTTAACCACCCACTAAGTCATGGACAGGGTAGGGGTGGGATTAGCTGAATGTAATCAAGGTGACCAGTGCTTTACAAGGAAGGGAGAGAAACAGGTATATTTCATAGCTTTTGGAAGATGTGCCTTTTCATGTTACTCAAGTACCAGCTGTGACTGGATAACAGGGGGTAAAATGCTGCTCCTGGGAGGGGAGCAGGGTCTGGAGCCAAGAGCAGAAGCCCTGGAGCCAGGTTAAGGTCTGTTGAGAGACAAAGGTGGCAGGTGGAACCCAACACCATCCCAGATATGCCACCAGAACCCATGTGAGGGATGTAAAGTGACCCCGATTTCTCCAAAGGCTACTCAGGGTAGAACACTGTGTACTGGGCTGTGAGCTGGAGGGCACCCCAGAAGTTAGCAGGAGGCAGCCGGAGAGGCGGGTCTGGAGGTATGATTAGGACCTGACCCCCACGGTAGTTCAGGTGAGGAGGTGGAGAGGAGCAGGGTGAAGCCAGGCACTGTTTCTCCCCATCCCTCACCAGACTTGAAGGAAGAGGTTGATGGGAATAGGAGAGAAACACAGATGTGCTTGTAACCAGCATAAAGGCAAACACAAACAGCCCTGCTTGTGGCAGGCCAGTGAAGCAGATGGATGTCTCTGGAGCTCATAGCCTCTGCCCTAGCTTCCCTGGGGTCTGCTGAGCCACCATCCTGCGAACAGGAGCTCGTTGCAGCTCCAGGACTGGCCTGGTAAAGGCTGAAGAGAAGCAAGCTGGGGGGAAAGGGATTGTGTATTATGAAGTCAGAGGATGTCCAAATCTTTTCTTTCTGAGGCTTAGGCTGGTTCAGAAAAATTGACAAAATGGTTTATGTTCTTTCTATGGGTTTTTTTTTATTTTAAAATCCATCCTTTTGGAAACAGTAATACTATATTGCTTTTCAAAGTATTTTGAGATACTTGCAAGTTTCCAAGTAGGTAAGACAGGAAAGACCCCCCCCCCACCGCCAGCTGCTTTTATTACCACATTTCTCAGACAACAATAGACCATAGCCTGTCCTCTGCCTGCTCAAAGAAGGTTGGCTGCAGAGCCTCCCACTGGGGTCTCTGGATGGGGGAGAACTCAGGAAGGCAGCTCCTGGGGACAAAGCACCCAAGGGTGGGAAATGCACCCTGGAATCTGTCTCTGAATTGCCCTCCCAGAGCCTTGCTGCCCCCACAGAGAGGGTGGGAGGTTTGGTGAGGATGACCTTGCCTCAGGTGGTCATGGAAATTGCTCATTTCCAGCCATGAGGCTGCTTAGGAACACAGGAAGCCTTCCTTGAGTAGAGATAACCATCGCCTTCATAACACCTGTCCCCCTCCCCAGCCATTCCCCGCCACCTGTGCCCCACAGCATCCTCGCTCACAGGCAACGCTTCACAGCAGAGAAGAGATACGAAAGATGCCTGGCAAGCCTGACGCTTTTCTGTAATTCTGAAATATGTATTAAACAATTGATAAAACAGGAAGCTTTTCACTTAGAAACTGTGAGACTGCACAAGTGTTTATTTCTTAGAAGGAATTAAAAGTGGCGTGGAACTTTGAAAGAGCTGCCTTCTGACGCACTCACAAACTCTTCTTGCCACTCAGCCCTGATTGTAATGAGCTGCAAGCTCTGAGGCTATCAAACGCTACTCAAGGCTTCTGACTCGCACGAGGGTCCTCCAGCACGGCAAGAGGGAGCGCACCCTGTTCCCAAACCTATTTACCTGCAGGGGCTCCTGCTGGGCTGTCAGTCCCAGGCTCCCACCTGCTGGGTTTGCAGACAGGAGCCCAGTGGTTGTGTCATTGTTGGCTCTGTTAGGCGAATGCCCTGCTGGGCCTTTTTCTGATGAACACCAGCAATGAGCTTGGAGACACGGGGCTCAGCCATGCCCAGCAGGGGCTCATCTATACAAGTTTAACTGTAAGGCTTTTTGCATTATTAAAAATCACAGGCTCAGAAACCTTTCAGGAACTCATCACAAAAGCCCAGTTCTGCTCCTCGTCATAAGCATAGCCTCCTGCCTTGACTGGCTTTCCTGGCTCTTGGAGGCTGGGTGCCTTTCTAAATGCTATCCTTGGTTTCTCTTCTGCCCAAGGCATACCTGTGTCCACCCTGGCCTCTGACCTGTCACTTAAATCCCTGCCTCCCTCTTGACCTGAACCATTTCCTCCAACAGTGAGTCTTTGGCAATAGTTTCAAACCTCACTTCTCTCCCCTCCCCCACTCCCACCACAGTTTATAGGCTTTGACCTTGGAGGGAGCACAGATTCCATCTCGGGTTTGGGACATCGTGAGTGATGTTGCCCTGAGGGTTACTTAGCCTTCTGAGTGGTTCGAATACCTATAGCATGGGTTCTGCCAACCAGCTGAGTCATGTGGCGCTGTAAAACTTCTCCATGGCTTCACAACAAGAATAGACTGTTCAGAGCAGAGGAGTGGGGCATTTGGCTATCAAGCAAACACCAACATTCGCAATTATCGAAAGGAGGTTGCTGGATGGTCAACTAATAGACTGGTGTAAGGACAGAGGATCTGCACACCTTAGCTCCTCTGCTCCTTGCACTTGGCACAGGACACCCCTTCTTCTGCAACCCATCCACTTACCATGGTTCGGACACCATACTGCTTTTCCACTTTTTCCTTCAGCTGCTTGAAACAGGCTTCCATTCTCTCATGAAAGGGCCTCAGTGCCTCTGTGACTTTGTCTCCATGAATCCTGATCCCTTCGGCCAAAAATGGAATCTGAAAAACACAAAGGTTTGTTTCTTGGTTAATGGTCCAGAGAGAGTAACACACGCAGAGGGTGGGGGGGAAGGGAAGCGGCACCATAAGAAGCACCTGCTTTTGTTTCTAAATCGAACTGCCTGATTAAACTCATCAGCAAGCACATCACCCGCAAAGACCGAAATGTTTAAATGCAAATCATTTGTGTTTTAAACTGGCCACGTTCAGGGTGGCTCATCCCATGTTCCACATTACGGGCACTGTTACTCCGCTGGGCTCACGTTGGTCAGCAGATTTACCTGGGCTTTACACTGGAGTTTGAGAAGAGCGGCATTTTGAATCTGTTAGAAAAGGGTCACATTGGAGTGTAAACATTTTTTTTGACGCTAAGAATATTGCCTTTATAGGCAATTGAGAACCCTCCGCCAAAACATAACAATGTAATTATATGTGATCTATAGTCCTGAAGGATATTCTGATCTGGAAAGGAAAACTAAATTTATTCTTCCTTAAAACTAAAAATAATCACTTCTCTGTCGACACTGCTGTCACAAGCTATCCATGCCAACACTTTGCTTCCCGAGAGTGGAGATGACGTTGACCTTTGCAGTCATCACAGGAGACATTTTCATTCTCCCAGCTGCACAGACCCTCAGAGCTGATGGTGGCAGAAGCAGGGGTAGGAACAGGTTGCTTTTGTGTGTCCTGCCCTCTGCTGCCCAGACTGGGAGTTAAGACATTCTTCAGTGCCATCAGGCTCAGAGATTTCTTCTTCTTAATTTATAATTAAATAAAAATACTGATTAAAAACAGGTTTTCTGAATAGTACAGAATACCAATCTGAAGGAGCAGATTTATTAGGAAGAGGGATAATAAGTACACAATTGAATTTCATGTGAACAAATTGAAGAAATCTTATCAAGATGAATCAACACATGAAATGTATTTGGTTGCCATTCGTAGCATGCAGCTGCTGCCTCTCTTGGTACTCCAGGAAAGGGGGTGATATGCAAGCACCCCCATGTTTACACAATCCCCAGTCTGCTCTCAGGTGGCACAGGCACAAAAGTCTATTTTGCTGACAGTTGGGCCTAAACCCAAGGCACACACCATTGTCCCTTTTTGGCCAGTTATGACTGAAAGACAGTGTGAGGGTGAGATTTCACAATGGATGGGGTCTTTTAATATTCTATATGAATTTCTCAGGCAGCTTCCCTGGGGCTAGCCACAGTGTATCTAGGACCAGCAGTAGAAATGCCCACTGTAATCCTTTTGCTTCCTGAATTCTGCCCTGGGGGATGACAGAGACGACTTCTGGGGGCATAGTAAATGTATCTATTGGGGTACAAAGGCAAGTAAGCGTGGAACACTGCCTGATGTGAAAGCAAAGCAGTCATAGTAGCTGTTAATGCATGGCCTTTCTCAAATGTGCAAAATGCAATCTAATAAGTTCAGTGGCTTTTTTTGTTAGCTTGATGAAACTTAAGATTCTTTACATCAAAAAGCTACTTGCTGGATTAGAGTTGAGACCATTTGAGGAATGGTACTGCTTGAACTGCAATTTGGCAGGTGAATCGTACAAGGTACAAGAATTCATCACTCTCAAGCCTCTGACACTGACTGGATAAAACCTTCTTATAGAATAGGATCTAGCCCCTAGTTCTATGTCTATTTCGGACTGAACTGCAGCTGTGATTCTAAACGAAAGAGAGTAGAAAGATGTTCTGTGTGAACACACTCCAAGGTATGAGGGGCTTAATATGCAAAGAGAAACCATAGACTTTGGAGAGCCTTTACTTCAGTAGGCTCCAACCTGGCTAAGCATCAAAATTCTAAATCCCATTCAGAATTACCATACGACCCAAGACTTGCACCCCAGAGCCCTGATCTGCCGAAGGTGGACCCTAGAATCTGCATTTTCAAAGTTTCTCACAGTCCGGGAGTCACACCTCCAGCAGTTCAAAGTGAGCCTGAAGCCTGTTCTCAGAAGATGCCCTCCTCCTGGGCAATGCTGCATTTGAAGTTTGCTCCTGCCTGTGCCTGCCCAGATCCAAGCCTTGCCAGCAGCACGGAACATTTGAAAACCCTGCTCTGTGCTACAGGAGCACTGGTCCTGGCCAAAAGAATGCCACCTGGCATCAGCTGGGGATGATGCGCGAGTATGGTCTTTCATCTTTGTACATTTCAATGGAGAAATATATAATATAGACACATCCCAGCAGTTTAATAGGGGACTGTCTGGGTTCATCGCTGGACACTCTACAGGGATACTTTACAATGACAGGTGTGTTAGGGGAAGAGAAAATTGTGTCTCAGAGGAATTGGTCCTAACTAGGTACCAGCTGCAAACCTGGAAGACTGGGCAGCTTGCCCCCAACCCAGCCCCTCACCTGGCAAGGGGCAGGTCAGCACTGCCCTCTACTTCAGAGCTAGCAGGCTGAGCTGACAGAAACTGCGAACAGTCCTGGGGCTCCCAGGAGAAATCCTGTTCTGCCCGATAGAGTTTCAGAAAAAACCCAAACCAAACCAACTCACAAACAAACAAGAAGAAAGTATCCTGATAACCCCAAAGTTCTCATTTTTAATGAACACACAACTCAATTACTGATATGAAGATTAACAGTTTTCAAAACATCTGCAAATGAAAGCAAAATCACAGGTAATGTTTTGAATATGTATTTTTTCTCACTCTTTGATTTAATGAAGTTGCTAGAAAACTTAATTCTTTCAACTTTGCTATGAGCTGCTTTAAAATTCATCCTTTAATATAGTTATTAGGGGTGATGACCTAGTGCCGACACAAAGTTGTTCTCTGGGGAACAAATTATTTTCCTCTGTAGGACTTGAAACTCTTAAAATCCAATTTGCTGTAAAAGCTTACAGGGGGAAAAAAAAAATCAATAGAACTTCTGCAGACCAAACTAGTTTTTGTGTTATAGCATTCAGAGGAGTTTTGGATTTTGTACCCTGTAGTTTCTATAGCAGCCCAAATGGAATCATTCACAATTTAAAGTCTCACTTCTCTAGTAAGAGGGAGGCTGCCAACAGGAGGCGTCCATTCCAGGCAAAGACACTGCTGTCCGCCAGCACTGCCCCTTGTTGTTCGGCAGCCCAGAGGAATTTTATCTCAATTCCAGGGCAAACAGACTTCAAGCACATAAAGATCTATGGCAGAGTTGAAATGTTTCTTTTATAATATAATTCTTTAAAAGAATAGAAGGCTAACAGGGGTAGGGAAAGGGTGAGGGAGAGTGCTGGGGGTGAAATACCAGGGTGAAAACCCCTGTGAAGAATGGATAGACCACTTAGAGGAATGGAAAACAGGTCTTGTTAGCGGTGAATACTGGTGGGAGGGTAAAAGAGGGTGAGTATGATGGATGTATTTTATATACTTGTATGAAAATGGAGTGATGAAACCTGTTGAAATTGTACTGAGTATGGGGCGAGGCATGAGAGAGATGATGGAGGAGTGAATCTAACCGAGGTACATCGTAAGTGTATATGAAATGTCACAATGAAACATCCTGTGCAACTAATGCATACTAATAAAAATTAATAGGTATATACACATATGTATACACATATCTACCTATATAAAGTTGCACACTCAACTATTATAAAAACTAAGAAGAGAAAATATCAAGCATTGGTGAGGATTTGGAGAAACTGAGATGGCAGGAATATAAAATGGAGTAGACATTGTGGGAAATTGGCTCAGAAAATCAAACATAGACTTTTCCGTGATCCAAGAATACTGGTTTCCTGACACCTGGGATGTTCAGCAACAGATGAATGAATGGACAAAATGGAATCTAAGCATAGAAGGGGATACTGCTCTGCCTTAGAAAGGAAGGAGATTCTGACATGCCACAACATGCTTTGTCACCCTTGCAGTCATCATGCTGAGTGAAATAAACACAGAAGAACAAACACTGGATGAGTCCCCTTCAAAGAGGTACCTAGAACTGGCGATCTAGAGACAGAAAGTAGAATGGTGCTTGCCAGGGCTGCAGAAAGAGGTGAATGGGTGGTTGTTTGATGGATACAGTTTCCATTGTGCAAGCTGAAAAAGTTCTAGAGATGGAATGTGGGGATGGTTGTACAATAATGTGAATATACTTAATGTCACTGAACTATACACTTAAAGTGGCCAACAGTTAATTTTATCTTTTATCTATTTTATCACAATTATATATTTAATTTCACAATTTATAAATATAAGTACCTAGAGTTATAATGACCCAGTCCATTCTGTATGCCTAAACATAAATCAGGAAGAGTTCCAATTTGACCTCAAAGCAAAGCTCAGCCCCAATGGGGTCTCATCAGCCACGGTGCTGATGGTCAAGAGGCCGTGAGGATGAGGCTCCACTGGATGGACAGGGAGGCCCAGGGATGACTCCTTGGAGGAGCAGCCCTGAGCTGAGCCTGACTGGGCAAAGACAAAGTGCACAGAATACTGAGGCTCCAATGGGGGGCCTGGATCCAATTAGCAATGCATCCTGGGGTACACACTGAGCCCTAGCCCAGGCTGCCCACTCCCACCTCCTGCACACAGCCAGGGCTGTGGCGTTTAGACCTGGCAAAGGTCACAGGGACAGCAACCTCCTTGCCTCCTGCATGAGAAAATAAAGTCTAAAGAAGTGAGTTGCCCAAGTATCAGAGCAAGGTGGAGCTCCCATGAGAACCAGTCAGGATGTCCCCACACACTGAACCCAGTAGAGTCTGAGAAGCATAGACATATCAGGAGAACACATGAGCCCTTCCAGAACTACCCATCCTTTAAGACGATGGCCTCCAAGAAGGGCTCAAGAAATCCCAGGAACACAAGTGGAAGCAAAATAATATGCAAAATTGCAGCTGAGAAAACAAGTGAGAACCCAAATCCTCCCCAGTGCTGCTGAAGAGCAGAGGCAGGGAAGCACTGCAGCTTCTGACTGATGTGTTTCTCAAAGACTTGTGGCTGTTGGCCATCAGGTGCCTTTCCTGAGGTGGGCTGTGGCCAAGGGCTTCTTGGCTCTGAGATCGCCTTCATGTTCTTTTCTTTTGTTAACTCCAGACATTCATAACTGACCAAGGGGAGGAAAAAGGTCTTGTTCATTTGCAAGAGAATTTTGTGAGAGCTCAAGTTCATGGTGGAAGCTCAGGAGTTGAAGTCACCATGGCAACAGGGTTGTGTTTGCCCAGAGGCCAGGTCTAGAGGCCTCCATGGTGGCAGGAGGGGGCTCAGGTAGACGAGGCCTAGACCTTCCGACTTCCCATCCCTCACCCATGCCAGGCTGCCATGAGACACTCTACCTGCCAGGCTATGAGGTCTTTGAGCTTCTCGATCTGTCCGTGGGCCTCAGGGTGCTCCTGCAGGTATCGATCTGTAAAGAAGGCCTGGGGAGACAGAGAGTCACTCAGTGTACTTGCCCATTCCACATAGAATTTTCCACACTAGGCCCTGGGGAGAGAAGCTGTGTATAAAGTAGCCCTACACAGCTGCTCTAACTCAGTGTTGGACCCTCTCCAGACCCAAGGCAAAATGTCTAGGAAGGTCAAACACAACAGAGCACATGGACAGTCATGGTGGGCACTCACAGCAGGACAAGTTCAGCCACAGCTGATTTGGATTGCTTGATCCTGTTACGTGGCAGGGAATATAACCCTCCCTAGCTCTGCCCGTGCCTGAGCCCCACTCTGTACCTTCCTGGGGCCTGACCTCCACCTGAAGTCTACGAGCACTGAAAGAACAGCTTTCTGTCTGTTTCTACTCTGTCTAGATCAGAGGTCAACAAGACTTTTCTATGAAGGGCCAGATGACAAATATTTTAGGTCTTGTGGAGCAAATGGGCCTCTGTCCAACTGCTCAACTCTGTCATTATTGTATCAGGAAAACAACCATAGGCAAGAAGTAAAGAAATGGACATGGCCACATTCCAATAAAATTTCATTGGCTAAAAACAGACAGTGGGCCATGGTAGGCAGACCTCTGACCAAGCCCATACTACACATCCTTCAACTGGTACACATTCCTACTAAGCTACCATCCAGGGAGACCAGTTGGCCAAGCTCCCTCTCTGTACCATCTCACCTCTTTTCTCGGTTTCTAAAATGGGATCTTTAGGCTTTATTGATCCCAGGCCTCTAAAATAGCCACTTGAAGGTCACTCTGCAGACTCTACTAGCCCAGTGTAGGTGGGCCAATGGGGCTACCTAGCTATCAGAGGATACCCAGGTCTTGGGCCCACACAGGCTTGACTGGGCCTTGCCTCTGCTGAGCTGGCTAAATTCTGGGCTCTGGAAACAGTGCCCTGTCCCAGGGCAGGGCTCCAAAGAAAGTGTAGACATGTCACATGCCTTCTCATAGTTCACAAAGCCACCCATGACAGCAGGGTCCACGATGCCATTCAGGAGCATGGACAATGGGTTGATGGGCAGGCCTGGGTCATCCAGGTGCTGTTGTACCATGCTGCTGATCTTGTCATTGGTCAGCTGCATGGTTTCGATGGCATTCTCCAGGGGGCTGATCTCCACCTGCAAGGGAGAAGAGACAGAGGAGCAATGTGTCCAGGCTGGGCAGGCTTTCCACTCTCTCCCCCACTTTTCTTCCAACAGATCTTTTCAGTATGACCACCTGTGGCCCAACTTAGAACAGCTGGGCATCATATTACCCTTGCTTATTTCTACAGACAGAGCCCGCATGTGAGCAATTCAGAAGAGCAAACCAAGCAGTGTGTGAGTGTGTGTGTGTGCACATGCATGGCCATCTCAGGAAAACACATCCCTGAGTAGGGTCTGAACATAATCTATCAGTTTCCCAAAGGAGACCTTTCAACCATGCTCTTGTTCTCTGCTTGCTTTATTGAGGGTTGTGATTCTTAGGAATTTGGGAGCATGCTATCCTGTTTGGTTCAGAAAGGTGAGGGAGGGTCCTTCAGTCTCTATTCACCCTTGTGTGAAGGGAGAGCTCTTGTGACCTCCAACCTGATGTCACAGCCTCATTTGCAAAACTGCACTGTCCAGTGGACCATCAGTGAAGAAGCCGTGTCCAAGACTTGTACCTCTGTCCTACCCTGGGAGCTCTGCAGGTTCTGTCTGGCTCAAGCTAAGGTGCTATGAGAGTGATACGAGGTCTAGAGCAGGGAACACACCTCCTGCAGGCCTCTGTTTAGCAGACCCAACCACCTCCTGAGACACCATGTCCTGGAAGCCCCTTGGCAATACTGATCCTCCTAAAGAAGGTGTGACAATACCCAGGGACCCTGGGAGTCCCCAGAAATTGAAAAGCCGAGTCTCCCGCTTTCTTCTTGCTGCAGCCTCTGCGGATTATCTGAGAAGTGAGGAAGTTACTGGGGAGTGGAAAGCACTGTGAATTGCCAACTCCTAGTATGACACTCCTTACAGCTATGGAGGAAGTAGTTACAGAGGCTTACCCCTGTGCCCATCTGGACCTGATGGAGGGACAGCCACAGAGATATGCGGCTGATCAGGTGCATGCTGCTGAGGGTGTCCTCTTGTTGTAAATGCACCCACGGATGCTGTCCTCACCTATACTCATTTTGTCAGACCCTGGAATATACCAGCTGAGGCACAGAACATCATGGGACACTCCAGAGCAGGATTCCATTTAACTGGCTGGCTACTTACTACCTGTGGTTGATCTCATTTGTCTCAAGAAAGAAGAGCTTATTGTTTTCATCAAACACACAGTGCTTACAGTTGTCCCAAGATATGGGATCTAAACCAGGAGGCACAGTGGGGCCAGGGTCTAACATCAGGATTTCTGCCATTCCAACCATTCTGGGATCATTTGGCTTCCAGAAAGCCCTCCTAGTCTGTTGCAAATGGCCAGTGTAGCTGGAGGATAAATGGCATCTTCACAAAAGGTCAGGTCTTCCCACCATCTAGTTAGTAAGCTTCAGCATCAGGCAGCCGCTGGCTCCCAGAATCCCCGATGACAGAAGGCTCATTATGAGAATCAGTGCCTATTTATGTGAAGCACCTGCTCTCCTGTGTCTCCCAGGTACCTCACCAGCTCCAAACAGCCCCTGCAAAGGGACTGCATTTTCATCACCTAACACGTAACTTCTGGCAAAACTCTACCCGCCTAGGGGCTCTGGGGCAGAGAATGAGAGATCCCAGAGCAGAAGGTGAAAAGTGCCCAGAAGGGATAGGCAAAGTCCTGGGTACTTGAGCAGGAGGAAGGGGGGTTCTGTGCTGCAGCCTGTGGGGTTCCTGGCAGGGCAGGAACATGCTCAAGGAAGGGCCCAGGGCTCATGCTGGCATGGGCAGAGAAGGGCGGGCATGGATGGAAACAGAGGTTCTGGCCAAGCTGTAGAGTCAAAATTATTAGGAGTTTCAATGTAAGCTAAATAGCAAATGCTATCCTCATGGGTGGGAACACATGAACAAAAATAAATTTCTATCATAACTTTTAACGTGGGCAACTGCCACAGTCATGACATTTTGGTATAGTCAATAAACCTGCTGCCCAACTCTGCTTCATGTAAATGAAGCCATCCTATAGCTCACTGTAAATGTGAGATTCATGTAACTGAAACTGTCCCACAGCAAGGCAAAGTTTAGCTAATGAGAAGGGAGTCATCCTTCTTTTAAAAAATACCCAGGGAGGGGTATATTTGCAGGCTATTTTTACTTGAAATGAGCAAGGACTATTAATTAAGCTGTTTGTCATGTAAATGGCAATAAACCCATCAGGAAGAAGGATTTTGTAGTTTATGTAAATTGGAATTTGTTTTAAACTTTTCATTAGTTAAGAGAAAGCACAGTTAAAACAGCAGAGCTATGACTGAAATTAAATATTGTGTGGGAAGAAATAGAGTCTTAGCTCTGGTTTCCCTATCAGCTGGCATGGGAGTGATTATAGAGGTTTTCTACTAAGTGCTGGAGTTGGTGGGCAGACACTGATGCTCCAGGAGCACGCTGGGTGTCACGTGCATGGTGGGGTCTGCAGCATGCAGACTGGCCAGAGACCACATGGCTCCCATGGGCGAGGAGAGTGTGTCACACCCTATCAGGGTGGGGAATGGGCAGTTCCTTCTTAAGGGTGTCCTTACCATGAAAACAGATTTGACCTCAAACCACCTTAAAATTCCCGGCAGTTTATATGCTGTAGTGTATATGGTTCTCTCAATCCACATATTCTACAAAAGAAACACACATGACATGGTTAGGAGTGGGAGGTGGCAGGTTGTGGGGATGTACAACCCCTCTCTCTGCATGGAGGCCTCTAACAGGACACAGGGTTGGCCTGTGTCTGGGGCCAGGAAGGTCTGTGCTGAGGGCACCTCTGGAGTCAAGTTCGACTTTACAGCCCAGTACACATCAACGTGCTCCCATTTCCTGGCCAGCATTGCTCACCTCTTTGGTATTTGGCAAAGAAAATGTAGTGGATGACGGGGGAGATGTAAATAGCTCAAAGAAGAGGAGGTTCCTCTCAAGTAAGTGGATTTTTGGGAAGGCTGCATGTGAGTTTTACATTAGCCTTACGTAGTTTCAAAAGAAACTCACAGATGCAGATGTATTAAGGAAAACTGGTTTAATAAAAGCCAATTCTCATATTTTAATAAAATCAGTGTATTAAGCTTATTTTTCTATAATATGTATTTACATGTGAATATAAAGATAAGGAGATAGAAGGGAGAAAAGTTAACCACTATGAGGAAAGGTAAGCTAAACATTTTAATAGTCATTGTTCAAGACTCCTTGCAAAGCACTGTGTATATTTTATCATTTATTTATTTATTTTTGGTGGTTCCGAGGTGTGAACTCAGGGTCTCACATGTGCTAGGTAGGCACTCTACCACTTGAGTCACACTATCAACCCCTTTTTTGTGTTGGATATTTTCTAGATAAGGGCTCACAAACTATTTGCCTGGGCTGGCTCTGAACCTTGATCCTTCTGATCTCTGTTTCCAAGTAGCTAGAATTACAGATGTGAGCCACAGGTGTCAGGCCCATTGTGTATATTTAAAAAAAAAAACTATTTTACCAAAGGTATTCTTTGTGAAATAGAACGTTACATATTTCAAGCCAATGAGAATAATTCCATGCCTCTTTAATAGGTGCACAGTTTGCAGCGGCAAACCAGAATGCTTTGTGCCACCCCTGGCTCAGAATGTCTAGCTTTCAACCATCCACTGCTGTTCTGACCCTCCCTCTACACAGCTGAGTCTGTGAACAGTAATGTAGACATAAGTCAATGGGGTCATGGAATGACAGTTCCAGAAAGCTGGCTTGGAAAGGAAAGCACCTGCCCGAGGCCTGGGGGACACAGGCAGGCCTCCTGTCTCCCAGCCGGACCATTTTGCCCTTATGAATGGTCTCCTTGGACACGTGCCTGAAAGCCTTTCAGAGCCTGTCTGGAACACACCTCTGGTGACTCCCCTCATGTCCACCCACCCTGAGAGGGTCCTGGTTCCATCTTGGGCTTTATTGGCCAGCTACTCCTAACTCAGTCTCTTCTCAGTCTCTTTCAACACCAGCCCTTGCTTCTGGGAGAATCATCCCTCACTTATCTCTTGGCCTGGTGGGGTAGCTTCTCAGATTTCTGACCTTGGGTCAGAAGGGACAAGCTCCTGGCAGAAGCAAAAGAAGCCAGAGCAGGGCTTCCCACTACTGCAAATAGGCCCATGCTTATCTGGAAGCCTCAGGCTTTGGCAAGCATGCAAAGGGCTAAATTCTGTGGTTCCTACATGCTCCATCCATGTGTGAGGAGCTAAACAGGCCAGGAGGGGATTTCAGGGCCATCTTGAAGCCCAACCTCTGAGGCTTAGCATAGCTCAAAATGTCAGGAGTCTCAGTTATTCTTAGCTCCGCTTCAGACTCACCGCGTACCGATTGGCAAGTCGCTTGACCTCCTTGTGTCTAGTTCTTTACAGTGTAAGAATATACGTATTTTCAGACAGGAGAGGTGTGAGGGAAGTTCAATAAATCCCTTGGTTGACAGACACCACAGAAATAATGAAATAATTGCAATTCTTTGATACAGAAGACTCAGAAAGCCACCACTCTTAGCACAGGTGTCTGGGTTGGATGTGCCTAGACTGTGTCCCCGACTGCAGGGACCAGCCAAGGAGGAAGTCATGAGCCAAGAAACAGGGGCTGTTCTTGAGATAAGCAGTGTATTAGAGCTGTAGATTTTAGAATTCAAGAAGTTCCAAGCTCCTGAGAGCACTGCCCCAGGACCGGAGGGGAATTCCCCAGAGTGACTCTCAAGAGCTGCCAAAGGAGACTCATAGGTTTTGCCCTGCAGATGGGGTGAGTGGAAGAAGTTAGGGCTTACAGGGACAGAGAGTGGAGGCCTCTCTATTTTAGGCAGCCCGGAGGTGTTCTGGGCTCTGCTCTGGGTCAGGAGCAGGGTGCTAATTTTACCCTGCTCTCCTGCTCCCCAGAAGCTTCCAGACTGCAGACAGAAGAACCCATTTTCAGCAGTGCTGGTCTTCCTATATTACTAGGAGGTAATATGGGTCTAACAGAGGGATTTCTGGGGGAAGTTTTTCAGGCACGAGGGAGAAGTGTCAACATTTTCTAAGACTCTGTTTTTATAATGGAATCCATTAAGTTAGTTTGTATGCATAATTTCTTTTTTCTCCTTTTTTTTTTTTTGGAGGGTTTGAACTCAGGGCCTCTCACTTGCTAGGCAGGGGCTTTTCCACTTGAGCCACTCCACCATCACTTTTGTGTTTAGTTATTTTTCAGGTAGGGTCTTGTGTTTTTTGCCCAGGCCAGCCTAGACTACAATTCTCCTACCTATTTTATGCCTCCCAAGTAGCTGGGATTACAGGTGAGTCCTCGTGCCTGGCAATGCTGTCATCATTTCTAAAAGGCTGTACGGGTATGTGTCATAATTTCCATGACGCTAATGCAATGGCTTGGTAACAAGGGACAACTATGTGGCAGTGTCTGGAAACCGTTTTGATTGGTTGCCACAACTGGGGACATCTTGTGGGTGGAGGTCAGGCATGTTGGTAAACAGTCTAGGATAACCAGGGTGGCCCAGCTCATGTCAGCAGAGCTCAGGGGGGAACCTGCTGCCATGTGTGGAACTACATGCTGGGCTGGACGGGGCACACGTGTGTGGCCTAGATCCAGCTCATCTGACAGCTGTTGTCACCTGCAGAAGGCCACATAAGCCTCCACGTACCAACTTTTAACCAGAGATATGGGCACCAGGGGCTAAGTGGGAGGGCCAACTCAGAAACACGGCACCCTAGGGCATTAATCACCTTATTATAGATCCCAGTGTTTGTGAAATGTCAGTTGCTTTACTAAATTTGGAGGGTTAATGGATTAGAATTTCTGCATATAATAAACATAGACGGTTAACACTGCCCATAGTAGCCCTGAGGCCACACTTCTCAATAGGCACTTTTGTTGGTGGTGGAATGAGATTGTTTTGTTTTTTTTACCGCAAATTCATTATCTGGGTTTTTCTCTCCTTTCCGGATTGGCCGAGAATATTCAAATCGCTGAACCTCGTTCACCCTGTAAAAACTGTAGAGACAGACAAATCATTAGACATTTAACCTGAAAACCAGCCAGTTTGCTTCTAGACATGGAGTCTGGGCTCACAACACTGTACCGAATCCCAGAAAACATCCCCAACCTTGATCTGCAGCCCTGGCCTTGGCTCCCTCTCCAGCGGCCTCTGGAGGGAGATACTGGCAGCTGGAAAAATGAATTGGAGATTTTCGTCCTCTCTGTCCCTGCCAGGCCTCAAGGGAGAAGAGATGCTAACTGGGAGTGGAAGGTGAAGCAAAGGAGAGGAGAAGGGGCTACATATTCAATAGACACGTTCGCCTTTTAAAAAAATTAATGAATGATTCATTGCATGTGCCCAGTAATTCAGTAATTTAGACAACTGGGTCATTTGTTATTTTTAGATTAAAAATTGATACATTTACTTTATAAAAAGGTGTTGTATACTTTAGTTTCTGATCTATAGGGTGCACACTTTGCAAACACCCCAAGAGTGACATACGGCTTACACAACTAGCTTGCTCTCACTGTTGGGTGCGGGGTGGGCTTTGCATTTAAGCAGGGTGTGGGTGGGGAGACTTACATCTCCCCTGCCCTGAAAGGGCAGCAAGAGGGACTATCTGAGGACCTCTGTGGTTCTCTGTTTGCTTAGTACCTCTCTCTGAGAAAAAGCATGGCAAACTTTCAAAAGCATGGTTGTGTAAAGCACTCATCTGCAAGCACACTGAATTTGTTTCCATGACTGCCGACAGAAGGTCAGAAATGATGAAAGGCTAAAAGAAGCCACCAAACTTCAGATGCAACACAAGCAGGGCCTGGGGAATACTAGGCCATCAAAGAGGTTAATTTTTTCGCCAGGACACAGATCAAATAGAAAAGAAAACTCTTCACATCAAAGAACCATCTGCTAAGGCAGATGATTCTATGCCACTGCTCCATCAGGTGTGATTCAGCTGCAGGTGCATACCCTTGCTCGGATTCACACAGGTGACCTGCGAGGTTTAAAAACCACTGCGTGATTGCATATCATGTCATTGTCATGCTGGGGGGCAAAGGGCTTTTACCTTGTCCCCATAAGGAACAAATGCTTGAATCTCTTTTCCTGCCACACCCCAGAGTTCCCAGTCAGATTGGCAGTGCGGAACCAGGGCTTAGTTACTGCTGAAAAGTAGGAGGTTCTAACCCTTGTGAATGAGTGTTCACCACCTTCAGACCCTCTGCACCCTCCAGACACATGATTGCTTTCTTCCTTCCCTTCTGCGGGTGCTGGAGATTACCTTCCCTTGCTCTTGGAATGCACACCAAAGGCTAAGTGCATCCTTCAAAAGGCAGAGGTATAGGGGGAAGGAGAGGCTGTTGGGGGTTGAAGAGGATCAAAATACATTACGTGTGTGTGTGTGTGTGTGTGTGTGTGTGTTTATAAAGACAGTACACTGAAAAAGGGGGGAGGAGGAAGGGAGACTAAGGGAGTACAATAGAGGGGGTGAACTTGTTCAAAGTACTCTGTACACATCTATGGAATTATCACAATTAAGTCCTTTGTACTATTAACGTATGCTACTAAAAAAAAAATAAGGTGGAGTTATACACAAGAGACCTGTCCATAGCCTCTCGCCACCCAGTGGTTAGTGAAAAACTGAGGTAATCACCTTACAATCTGCTCAGACACTGGCCGGTGAAATTTAGGGGGCAAATCAAGCTTGGGCTTGACTGTGAAGCACTGGATATCTGAGGGAACAGGGGTTAAGGACCAATTTGCAGCACGGATGACAATCAAACGAGAAGCCACCCTCTGCCCCCTCCACCCAGCACATCCAACCATGTCCTGATGGCTGTGTGGTCCTGGTGGTGTCTTAAAGGATACACTGGCCAGGAGAGTTTTTAATATCGTCGCCTGGTGGAGATGTTGTATTCATTTTCTCAGCATTTGGAAACTGAGTTAACAGCCGAGCTTCAAAGTCCTCCCGGCGTTCATACTCTTTTCCCCGGTAAATGAAAACTTTTCCCTGGAAACAATGACATTCTTTAAATAACACCATAGGGGAAGGTCCAGGAAAAGTTCATAGGCAAAAGCAAAAGAGCAGGTCTTCAAGATCTACTTGACAATGTTTTTACAAATGTCACTGCATTTAAGAACAACCTGTAATTGCATTGCTCTTACTAATCAAGAACACGGTAGTACAGAAGCGGTATGACATGAATACCGCTCAGGAAGCAATGAACCTCACATTCCTGAACTCCTGCGATAAGCTTCAGTCTCGGCAGTAACTACCAACTAAAAGATTACGAAGAACCAAGTGTGCGACTGGAGCCCCACGAGTGACGAAAGGGTTAAGTCAGGCAGACATCTCTTCTCAGGTAGGGTCTGAAGTAAGGTCATGCCATCTCAAAAAACCCGGAATTGGGTTATCGATCATTCAAAGCTGAAGTCACCTGAGAAACTGTAACTTCAGAAATGGCCACCTGGTCTGTTTCCCAAGGCTGAGATATTGCTTAAATCACTGGCACAAGGATAGCAATGAACTCAAAAAAACAAACTGTAAAGCAACCCTGATCTCCCCTCATAGCATCCCTACAAGTTACTACACTGGTCCAGGTATCCATTTGTCCCATTATTCCTTTATAAATCTATTGTTCTTTGTCTAATAAAGTATTAAAGCATCATGCTTTAGTTGCTGGACTTCACTCTCTTGTGAAGATCCCTGTGTATATGTAAAATTTATAACATTACCATGCTTTTCTCTTGTTAATCACCTCCTGTGTTAATTAGGTTCCTAGATCCAGCCAAAGAGCCCACATAAGAACTTAGGGGTAAAGGGCATCTGACTCTCCCCGATAGCCCTAATTAAGTAGTTTTTGTTCTGCCAAAAGGAATTTAAGCTTTGTAGTGGCTCAGAGCCTGAGCACAGTCATCATGAATTGACTCCTGGGAGTCACATCAAGAGATCAGAACCAGAAGAAAGGGGTTTGGACAAAAGCAGAAAGGCCCTGGGCTTTTGGCTTCCCTGGGGGTGAGTAGCTGGAGATGAGTGGACAGCAGGACTGCCTGGTAGTCAGAGTTGCTGTGCAGGTCCTTATTCTTCAATGGGTGACAAGATAATGTGCAGCTCTTCTTCTAAGGGCTGAATTTTGTCCCTCTCAAATGACACTCCAAAATGGAGAGCCTATTGAGGTTGTTACAGATGGCCAGACTTGGTGACCTTGGTGGGGGGGCTTAGGTAAGCATTCTTCCTTATGTAGGCCTCTTGTGGAGGCCATCTCTGTATGGGTGTGACACAGTTGCTCTGTAGATACATCTGTAAGGAAGGTTCTTTTGAGGTATAAAAGGTCTCTGTTCCTTGAAGGTATCAACAAATGTGTTCTGAATGTCAAACAAATCACAAACAGGCGTCACTGGGTAGATACATAAGGCTATCACTGTCTTTTGAAGAGCTCTCCTTGCTCCCGTCCCTCCCCATTCTAAGACTGTTTCTGCCAAACTGGAAACCATGGCAAAGAGGGACAGCAAGCAGAAGCACCTGAGCTTCAGGAAGTGGGGCTCTGGAGGTTCTGCTCTTTGTGGTGGAATTTGTCTGCATCGGTATGTCTGCTGGTCCAAGCAGGAGACACTGGGGAAGGTCTCCAGATCACTGGTCATGAGCCAGGTGCAGCCATGCTTTATCTATGGCAATCCCTGGACAGACACCAGACAGGAGAACAAAGGCTGAGTGGCAGACAGACATAGAGAACAACAGAGACTCAGTCTGAAGTCAAATTGAAATTTGCCTAATTAATGGATTTTCAAAGAGATAAAGAGAGATCCTAGAACATTCATTTAATTTTTCCTTACTATGGTATGGGTGTTTATGTTTCCCCCAAATTCATATATTGAAACATATTTTTTGAGTGGTCATTAGTTCTCAAGGTGTCTCAGAGAGCTTTCTTCCCTTCTTCCCTGTGGGGAACAGGCCTGGACCAGACACCTAATCTACTGGCACCTTGATCCTGGACTTCCTAGCCTCTAAAACTATGGCCAGTTTCTTTTTTTTTTTTATAAAGTACCCAGTCTAAGATATTTTGTTACAGCAGCCATAACAGATTAAGACAACCTTCTTTTCAAGATACAATTTATCCTGAGTTTTTACAAATTACTAAAGAAGAAACAGTTTAAGAATTTGTTTTTCACTTTGTACTTAGGTATGTCTCAAAGTACCATTATGGAAGAAAAACGTTCTATTTCTCTGAAAAAATAATGTCAAGCAGAAAGCAAAGTAATAGGTAGTCTTAATTAGAAATATACAATATGGACAGCTTAGAAGGCTATATAAAGCCAAACATTTCAGGAATTCAGTAAGATTTAATACATAACAGGCTATGATGAAACTAGCATGCATTTATTATACTTTAAATGTGTATAAAGGTTTTAGTAGAAAAACACTAGCGAGTTATAGATGAAAACACTAGTATCATTTTCCAGAAATGTCAACTACTTTGCATTCTGAAATAGTCCCTTCAAACATGAAAATGGGGAAAATGTGTACTCCTTGTGAGAACTATAAATATTAATATCAACACATAAACCAATGAGATCAGGCTTTGAGAGCAACAGAGCCAAAGGGACAGTGAATCTGTGCAGAGGCTCCTCTCCTAGTAGCATTAGATCCCTAAACATCCACCTACTTTTTGGTATCTGCTAATGTCATTGTCAGGCTGACCCCTGCCAGGTGATCTGTGAAGCGTAATAAATACATTGCTAGAGCCCCACAAAAATTATTCAGGTGTGGCGGGAAAGTCAGTTCAATATTAATTAAGCCTGTTAAACTCTTTCTTCTTACTTCCCCATTTTGTCCTTTGGTGGTGGAGACGACCCAGAACTGTCCCTGGAGTCCACAGTTGCCTGTGAGCTCTCAGCACACCCTGGCCTTCCTGGCTCTCTTGCAGCATGTCTCTCCCCAGGCATTTCACTCACATGTTCAGGCAGCCTGTTGTCTTGCTACGGATGCCAGACAATCATTTTGTACAGATCTGTAGTTGGTGCCCACCATATCAAAGGTAAATCATTGCCTACGGGCCCAGACTCTAACGTCCAGTGCAGCACAGTGCTGTGTTCGTTTTAGACACACTCCGGGGCACATGTACACACACACACACACACACACACACACACACATTAAAGCCTTCAGCACCATTAAGTGACTTCTCTCAGCTCTTCTATCCTTCAGTGTTCTTTTTATTTAATGTTAATTTCAAATTCCTCTCTGTGTAGCACTTATAGCTGACACCCTTTACTTGTTCTTTGGATGGGAAGATGTTGACTCGGGACTGCTGATAAATGGCTGTCTTTACTGAACAAAGAAGACAGCAGGAGAGGCTGGTCAGCAGTGACTGGACAGGGCCAGGTGGAGTCACTGATGGAGGACACTGAGAGATAGGATTGGCCAACCTCACTTTCTGAAGCAGGCCAGAACTTCGTGGGTCTCTACGATAGAGAGCGGCATGTCCTCAGCAAGGGAACATTTGAGTTCTATGGGTTCTAGTATAAAGACATGTCTTATGTATCAGTGGCCCTGGGATTAGAAAACACAGGACCAGATAGCACACTTCTGGGACCAGAAAGATTTCCTTGCTGGCTCCAGCAGCCCAGATAGGCACAGAACCTCTGCTTCCCTAAGCCAGAGGAATCACACATGACCTCCCATGTGTCATAAAAACATGTCACAGGAAATGACAAGAAGTCATGACTAATGATATCTAAGAATGTGCTTCTGAGAAAACTGAAACAATTTTACCAGTGGGTCAGGTCACATTTATTTATATACCTCTCCTCTAGCCTCCTGTGAATATTGGGAAACGAATGTCTAGTGGGTGATCACAGGTGTTGCTCTGGTCACATGCCTCACTGCATCCCCCTCTTTCGGGGATGGAGCAGATTCCACTCTGGCAGCCCAGCTAACCACACAGCTAGTAGAGTCAGACTTTGCCATGCAAAATCCTAATCCTTGCTCAGGATGGAAGGGGACTCAGGATGGAGGAGCAACCATGGCTCTGAGAAAGCAGAATCAAAATTTACCCGAAGGAATGTGGGGAATCCTTGTCCGTAGTAGCCAACAGCAAAATAGTCAGGCTTGGGTCTTATCACTTTGACGATGTTTTCATAGAATTGAGCCTGTTTTTTCTGGAAGGAAGAAAGAAAATGCATTTCAGGACTGAGCATACTATTTAAGCACCCATTCTTCTGGATTCTTCCCGTGGGCTTGTAAGCTTTGGTGGGAGGAGGGGTCCTGAGGCCTGCACCTGGACTGATAGTGTTGGCATGAGTTTTCAGGCATGAGTTTTTACTCATTCTCCATCATTCAGCAAGAAATTCTGAACAGACAAGTCACATCAAGAAATTGGTAATGATTTTAGGGTGTCTTCAACCCTGAGTGCTTTTTTAAGTGGTATGGTTCAGGTGTAAGGGATTTAAAAGGACAGAATAGCTCTAAAATCAATGGCCACCATTACAGAATCTTTAAATGTGATCTACTGAATACACAAGTGATACGGCTGAGAAAGCAGTATCAGAGACTTACAGAGCTTCTGTGGTGGAAGAAAGGTCTGGCTGCTATGTCCTCCCCATATTGTGAAAAGGGTGATGGTTTTAAACTAGTGTGGAAACTCTGATACGCATGGGCTCCCAGACCACACGACCCAGGAGGTTAGCTGTGGTTATGCGTAATTTACAGAAGGCTTAGTGTTGGGCCGTAAGAACTGTCTTAGGAATAAAAAGTGAACTCTCATAGGCCACGGATAAAGGAGGAACCCTCCTTTAGGTAGGGTCTTGGGGTGCCAGGTAGGACCAGGAAAGAGAACACATGGGTAGCAGGGACACCCCAACAGGAAAACAGGGGAGATTCCAGAGAAGCAAGCTTAAACTGCCTCTCTTCATTTAAGCAGAGAATAAGCAAAGACCCACCAGCAGTTCACTGAGCTGTTCATAATCAAACATTTCGGTTTCATACTGTTCTGCAAGCTCCTTGCCCAAGACGATGGCCTCCTCCCACATCTGTAAGTTACAAGGAAGAAAAACAAAAACCCTTAATCGTGCAGTCAGAGTAAAAGGGACACCATCACTCACAATAAGGCAATTTAGAAATACACTGGATTAATGGAAACACTGGGAGAATAATGTTGGAAAAATACAAGTATTTTCTCTAGGCTCCTGCCCTTTGGCTCAGGACCCAGCATCTGCTTACTAAACTGGTCAAACCCCACTCATCCATCACACCAGCTCTGCTTACGGCACAGCAGTCTGCTGGCTTGTCCTCACTGCCCAGTCCCCCTTCTCCTGCTGCTAGTCATGGCCACCAAGGCCCATCTGTCAGGGTGGCTTTGGAGCCAGGGAAAAGACACTGCAGGGTGAAGGAGCCAGTGAGAGGCATTTATGTAGTAACTAGGGACTTGAGCTAGCTACTTTCCCAAATGGCTCCACTCAATAAACACCACATCCCAGAGCACCAACTGCCAGAAAGACCAGGGTGTATTTCTACTCCAAATTACAGCCGGCAGAAAGCTTGCTTCATGTGTGCAAATACTGTGCAGATGTAAATCCTGCCATCATTTTCAGAAGGGGAAACTTTGTATGGTGAACAATTTGAAAGTGACTTTCCAAGTAACTTCTGTTTTTGAAATGTGGATAAACTATGGCACAGTGTAATAATTCGATAGTCAGTATGCCTGGATTTCCCTTTGGAAAGATAAGGTGGATCACTTGAGAAGAACATAGACATTTGAAGGAAACACCTCCTCTAGGAAGGAAGCCTTTCCGTTTGATTCCCACTCTCCTCCTTTGAGCTTCCACAGTGACTTAGGGCTTCAAACCCTGCTGTCCTGTATTGAAACTGGAACGTGCCCTTGTCTTTTCTCCTCAGACTGCAAGCTCCTGTGGAAAATCTATTCAACAAGGCTCAGCAAATGGAACTGAAGGCTGATGACCTCACCAGGAAAGCTTTCCACCCTCCCTCATCCTGTGCTCCCCTCCCAGCCGTGAGTGCCCTCCCTCGATTCTCCATGCCATCAACACCAGGAGACCACAGCATCAATCCGTATGTGAGCTACTCATTCCACCCAAGCTTTGATCCTGGCTGGGCTGCTCAGCACCCCCTGGGTGCACCAGTACAGCAAGGATTGACTGCCATGGGAGCAAGACGTTGTTGGCTTTTACCTTCTTTCAGCTGACATGCCGTGTGTGCTGTCTGCCCACCTGCATCCCTGGTTGAAGCCCTTCAACCACCTTATCAGGTGAGTGTCTTTTTATACCCACGTTGCAGATAAGGAAGGTGTACCAGACAGGTAAGTAATTTGTCCAAGGGCACACAGTGGGTAAGTGATGGACTTGCCCAACTTGGTATTTTTCCAGTGTTCTTGCTCTTAAGATCACGTACCAACCAGCATTTCCAACTGCTCTCCGGGGCCTTCACCTAGCACACCCTTGGCACACTTGCTTGTCTTTTTATTAGAATGGGTCCTACTTATTACTGAACCTTTCTGTTAACTAAAGAGCACTATTTTATTAAAACCCTCCAAAAATACTTTTTTCATAGTTACTACTTAAGGAAACTGTTATTTTTGATGAGGAAAAAAAAACTAATTCTGGAGAAAGAGTTGTGTTTTAATACTTTCAAAAGCAAGATTGCAATAAGTGCAGGGTAGATTTCAGATGGGGCCAGTGTACTGGGGACACTCTGTACCTGGTTCCCTTTGGTTGAACGTTGCTCAGATTCTTTGAACACCTTCATCTGTCCTTTGCTGGAGCTGAAGCTCACATTCCCACGATGGGAGAACTCCTCTAAGCTCTAATGTTTCTTTTAAGCTCCAGTGACCCATACCTCCTTTATCTTATTTCCAATTCAAAGACAACATTACCTTTCCTTGTAGGTCTCCCTCACTGTGTCTTTCTTTAGTTTTCTGCAAGCTAATACATATTACTCCTAGCTGCCTGGAATGCTAGGGCTTCTAATTCATTCCTGAGTAAAAGCTTAATCTATCTTATCCTAAATGACAGATGAGGTGCTTTAGATACACATCAAAAGTAATTGTTTTTAAAAAGAAATATAAGTCTTGAGTAAATACCTCATCTGGCTTGCCCTGAGGTTATGTGGTTGTGTTTTCTATCAGATTTTCTGGAAATATATATTCTCTTTCCCTTCCCGTCCACATGTGTGAAATGATTCCACACTGAGGAGATTTCATCTACTTTTAATTGGACAGGGCTCTAAAGAGTGTGGGTAATTCATATTTCCTACGTGAGCACCTTGGAAAATATCTCAGTGCCAGGGAGAAAATAGATTGAATATGATCTAGATTTAGATTATCTCGGTGAAAGAATCCTTTTAACCTTCATGATTCAACACCCAGCTGGGCTCCATTCTTAGAAGAGCTATAGGCTTAGCAGGTTTACGCAGCCCCAAGTGAAAAAGCCCGTATCAGCAGACAACATTATTTTCTGATCCAAAGTCCTTAATCCAGTTTATGGCATTCTGGAAATTGTTAGCATGGAGCATGTTCTCACCCCACTGCTATTCACAGGGGCATGATTGGTTCCATTTTCTTGGGATGACAATCTTTCCCATCTTTCTGAACCTCCGGTTTCAGGAACTTCCATTTCTTCAAGTTCCATGACTAGAAAACGTTCTTTTCCGATGAGACTCCTTCCTCAGCTCTAAGACAGTGGTTGCAGAGAACATAACAGGTAGTATTTCTCATAGAGAGCGCAGGGTTGATGGCTGACCAGACTGGTAAGATGATGTCCTTGATCTCAGGATTAGGGAGCAGCAGCAGATGAACGGACAGATGCCACAGGGGACTAGGTGGATCCCTCACTAATAATGCAAACTGGCTGGCTCACTAGGACCCTAGTTTAATTTGTTTACTTATGAGCAGCTCACCAGGGAGGTCATTTTAAGGGAAGCTCGATTTCCCACCATTTTTCTGCAATTCACCTGTTTTTCCTGGCAGTTAATGGGAAAAAGAGAATTAACTTTTGAATTTCCAAAGTCCCAGCAGCTCTCTGCTGCTTAAGTGGATTAGAGTCGATGGTATGGAGGAATTCAGAGCTCCAACTGAAGTCCCCAAGCATCTGAGAGGCCAAGGTGACCCAGGACCAGTGGGAGGCCTTGTTCAGTTAGTGTCATACTGAACAAGTGCCGAGAATGGGTACCTTTTAGTCCCCGGCTCTGATGCATGTTGTGAGAAGGGCACTGGTGACTTCGAGCTGTGACCAGCCCAGAGGGGGCCTGGTTGTTCTTTGTGTTGGCTACAGTCTTTTCTTGCAGAATGGAGATTCCTTGCACCAGGCCTATCACATTTCCCTTGAGCCCAGTGCTATCTTGGTCCTCTTGGGGTTCTCAACTAGCTTCGACTGATCTGAGCAGAGGGCTGACTTCCAGACACTTCTGAGACAGAGTCAAGCTTGGCTCTCCCAGCCCAGCAATGATGCATTTTTCTCTATGGGCTGTCGCTCAACACTACCTGATCTTGCAGTAATGAGGCCACCCTGTCACCAGACATGCACAAGACAAAGCTAGCACCAAGTAAGACGGTTAACAGGAATGAAAGATGGACTGGAGTTAACAAACTTATTTGACCTCAAGACAAATCCTTCCTTCTGACCCAGGGAAGCCCTCAAGAAACTCTACAGCCTGCAGAAAATACTGTCCACCTAAGTCTTGTTCATCTACAACCATCTTTCCCCACCCGATTCTTTATTGGCCAGAAAAGAAAATGATTTGCTTGGCTTTTAATGCACTGGAAGGGAAGTGAGGAAGGATTAAAAAAAAAAAAAACAAAAACAAAAGCAAAAACAGAGATTTTGCATTTTTATTTCAGGTCAGGACATCTGCAGTTCTGCAAAGAAAGATACTGAAAATTCTAAACCAGGCAGCAAGAAAAACGTTTGCTTCTTGCTTGGACTAGAAGGAGAAGGGACTCAGTGTCACTCACTCCTGTGTCCCACAGGTAATTACTGGGCAGCTGTGAGGGGAGTGGGTTCCCAAGAGAGATGGTAGAGATAATGGCATGGTTGCAGGTGAGAAGGGTGTTCACCAACGGAAAGCAAACTGGGATGTCATAAGAGCAGAGTGGGCAGAGATTTGGGTGTGATGTCCTGGCATGGTGTGGGGGGGCGCAGCAGGTGTCTAGGGGAGAAGCCAGCCAGGATGGGTGCAGGACAGTCCAACCCTAGGACAGAGGGAAGAATATGAGAGGTAGAAGTGGAGCTGTGGGATGAGGGTGTGTGGTGGCTTGTGGCCAGGAAAGCTGGGTCACAAAGCCTAAGTTGCAACTGGTCGGAGAATCATTTACTTTTAAAAAGAATGAGCAAAGATGTTCAACTTAACAACTATTCCTCTAGTCGTAACAGGGATTCATCTTCTTCATGCTCGAGCCACTTATGGGCTTGGGGTTCACCCATGTGTTGGGTGCACTTTTCACTCCACTGAGGAGGAGGTGCCATCTCTAGATGTCTCGTTCCCTCACTTGGCTCTGTTCTGGGTGACCATAATGTCCTCACTGACCACCTCTGCCTGCTGCTCGTCCAATTCTTAAATCTCTGGCAGCCTCCAGCTTCCTCCTCAGTCACCAAGAGTTTGTGGATGTGTGTTACTTTGCAAAGACTGAATAGCTAAAAAAATAGAAATTATGCTCTCACAGTCCTGAGATCAAGGTGTTGGCAGATCCACTTTCCCTCTGATGGCTCTCGAAGAGGAACCTTCCTGCCTCCCAACTGTCTAGGCTTACAGCAGCATCATTCTAATCTCTGCCCCTGTCTTCACCTGGTTGTCTCCTCTGTGTCTAGATCTTTCCTCCTTCTGTTTCTTGTAAGGGCACCTGCTGTGGGACTCCTGCCGCCCAGGTAATTCAGAATGATCTCATCAAGATCCTGACCTAATTACATCTGTGAAGACCATTTCTCCAAATACTGTCACATTCATCTGTCTCAGAGTTAGGACATGGACATATCTTTGAGAGGGTAGGGGGTCTACCATTCAACCCACTATAATGTGTTCA